TATTCACATTCGTTGGAAGCAGTATTCGATTGAATATATATTACATAATCATTGTCAAACTAGAGAGTATGTTAGTCATTTTATGTCACATGAATCACGAACAATTGGTATTTGTTGCATAACAAGGGATTATTGATTCAGTTTAACTAATGTCATGCTTATTTAAGTTTGAAATAGTTCAATCATAGAAATATTTAGTAAAATAAAGTAAAACTTTATTGATATTTGAAGCTTTTCATTTACTGTGAAAAGATTCAGTTTATAATCAATTGTATTAAGATTACAATTAAATAAATAATGTAGTTCGTTTGATGAAATTTAGAATGGAAGTTTGAAATAAAAGAGATAATGGATCAAGATAATTAAACTTAGAAATATGATATTCAATAAAGTAATTCAGATTGAAGTAGACTTCTACGCGTACGATTTAACCAATTTAAAGATAATCAGAGACACAAGTAACCAGTCTAACAATACATGAAATTAATTTAATAGTTTGAAAAAAAATTTTGTACAAATCAAATAAACTTGAAGAGCGAATGTCGGTAGATTTATTGTAATTATCTAGCAAATAAAACTTTCTATGATGAGGGTTTCAGCTACATAGGGCAATCACAGGCTAGTCACGATTTCCTTCTCCACAGATAGTTCAGATGAAAAAAAAACATGTGAAGAGAAAGGTGAATGAGATGCTCATTGTATGTTGTTTATTTTAAAAGTTCTAGATTCATCAAATATATTCAACATCCTCTCGGTATTTAAAACTTACACTTATTTGTTCAATTTATTCATCAACTCTGTTGTATTAATTTTCTACTATCAAATCTTTCACTTATCAAAATTAGTGATGAAACTTATACACCTATAAATATCCTATATCACATCTATTCAAACCTGAACACTTTTACTGATCGAATTTCATCAGTTAGGAAGAAGTAGTGTAATGAACGAAAATTTGGTTAAAGTAAACCAATGTACTGTAGTGTGAAAAATTACACACTGCATTTGCAGTTCTTCCATACAAACTCCATTGTCCTACCATCTATGTCTTTATTTTGACTATTTTTAATTTTTCGTTCTTCCCTTTTCACTGTACTTTCAATTCCTGATAAATACTACTTATATTTGTCCGTGCCAGTAGTACTCAGCGCACTGGTGTAATCAATATTCTATGAATTACATCGACCATTCTATCTATATCAATTTGCAACGAAATTTATTCCCCTGTCTATATAGTAGGACTATGATTGAAATAATATATTTTGAAAAACTGTATATAATAATGTAAACTACCTACGCTTAGATATATCCGTTTGCTTAATCAAGATTTAGTTAAGAATTTTGAAAACGAAAAGTAGTATCACAATTTTCTGAATTGATAAAAGAAACTTTAATTTTATAGTTTACTTTATGTGTAATTCAGTAAGTTGAGTTTATGTAATGAAGAAATTTTCGACAGAGAATTTTGTTGGTAAAATTATATTTGAGACAAACGACGGTGCTCTCGATCACCTATAACGAAAGCAAAGCTAAGATATAAGCTCAATTAGCTTTTAACAGTAAAAAAGTTTGCGGAGGATGTAACAGAAATGGTTTGCTGTAAACGCATGAAATATTCATTTATGTTTGATTCAGTTATGTATTACAATAAAGATATTTTACAATATCATGTATAGATGAGGGTTATGTTTCTACTAATTATTAGTTTCCATATTATAAAACTAGTGATCATTGTAGGCTGCAAACTGTCGTTCTTACACATTTTTTTCATTTACACAGTGTTGTATCAGTGGTGTTTGACTTAATGAAGTTGAGAGTAAAATATTTTCCGAAATTTATTGTTGTGAGAGTGTCCAGATTTTAGTCTAATCTTAACTAATGCACTTTACTAAGATTGATGCATGTTGGATATCCGCTAGCCGAAAATATGTAACACAATCATACATAGGTTTAGCCACCGATAGAAACTAGTTATCCAGTTATTTTATGTATATTGTTTACAAAACGTACTTTACGAATAAATCATATCTGAAATAGAATTTTCTTTATGAATTCAAACAAGGAAAATACTGATAGTATTGGCTTTAGACTTAGAATGATATATGTGATAAATAAGTGTGAATTTTGCAAAAAACGACTACTTACTTATTTCTATGGTGTTTGAAAAAATCAACTCGTATATGTTGGGCTTCGATCTTAAAGCCATGTAGCTGAGTTATTAGAATACCAACGAAACGTGTGTGAACACTGACTTTCCAATACCTTACAGCAAATTAGGTACATTTATTCTGAATAAACTAGTTGTTAAGTCCGTAATATATTGCACATTTCCATGACTAGTAATAACTGAGAGTATTATATACATATATTTTGACTGGTTCACTGTAATTTATACAAATAGCATAAAAGTATCATCACCTATTCGTTGTCTTTATGAATTTGAGAATAGCATACGGAAATAACTAAAACTGCTTAAAAGTTGATTGAATTACTAACAGTATGAAGATATTGTTCAGCATTTTTAACTAAGGAATAACTACTGCTGTAAAGAGTTTCCAAATTGAAAAATAATCGACATATGTTATGTCTTAATAGTTAAGATGTTCAACTTTCATGCATGAATTTCAAATCCTACCTTATCTACTACAGTATGGACAACTAAGTAGTTCCACCAACCCTAAATATTAACTATAACTGAAAGCCGAGTGCATAAAACTGTGCTCGATAGACAACCTCGTGGATTTTTTCAGCAATTTACCAATTCAAACTTTATACAATAGTATAATAGAGAAGTGTGAAAACGTTTTCCCTAATGCGTAAAACGTGAATATCAGGGTAGCTGAAAATTACATTACATATTATCTCTCAGCTATTTATTGTTCTTTGTAATTGATTAATTGACTATATCTTCAAAAATATACTTGACAAATTTCAGAAAGCAGTGATTGTGATAATCGATGAAGTTTTTTTTAGAAATTTGTAAAATTTCCCATGATCTACATTTTTGAAATTTATACAAATTTTCTTTCGTTTCTTCACTGAATGTAATTATTGTCATGCAGTATTTATACATTTTCTAAAAGTTAAATGGTATCATGACAGTCAATTGCCAAAATCATGATTTGAATGATGTGAATTTATTTTTTATGAAACCTTTTTTAAAGAAATGATAATTGGTTCAGTAAACAATATGATAATAATTTCAATGGTTGAAATCATGAGTCAGTTGAAGCCAGGCCACCATGGAAAACATAGAAGGATTGGACGGCCGTTTTGTCCTGTTGTGCGACTCCTCATCAGTGCGCATCTACGATCCCGCCCCACGAGATTCGGACTCAAGACCTACCAGTTTCACGCGCGAGCGATTATCCACTAGATCACTGAGCCGTCCAGTTCTTCCATGTGGTCTAGTTTCAACTGAATCATGATCCGAAACATTGCATTTACTATGATATCCACAAAATCCCTTCTGATATTAATGTAATAATATACAATAATATTTAATGTAAATTTTATAAATTTAATTTAATGAGTTCATACTACTGAAAAGTCTTAAAATAAAAGGTAACAGTTATTGAATTCCCCTCAATAGTCACTAGTTCTCCAAATGTTTTTTACTAGTGATTAAACTAACTTTATGTAATGAGCTTAAACAAACTGAAATCATGAAATAAAAAGATCTAATTTAAAATAATTGGTGTAATGTATATTAACGCAATATATATGAGTAATTTGACCATGCATTACCTCTTAAAGAAACGTTTATATGAGAAATAAAATAATAAAACTAGACGGATCCGAACACAAAGAAGAACGAAGATCACAAGTCCAATTTATAATAGTTTTGCATGGTGCCGTCTCTGATATTGTCGATCAAGTTATGATCAATCTTAATTGTTATATGTGTATCTTTTGTTCAGTATTTAAAACGAAGGGTTGTGAGGCTCAATTCTCAGTATAAATATCAAATTAGATGCAGGCGCATCCTGCTGACGAGTCTCAAATGGAACAAAACGAGTGTTTTGCATTAAACTGTCAACGATAATCCACTTGTACTATAAAAGACAGTAATAAAACACAATTTAAATCATACCACATTGAATATAAAAATTAGATCAATATTAGTAACAATAAGTTTGGCGAAATATTATATTCATCTACATTTACTATCCATAGTTTTGTGCTTCATATTTTTTTTCTCTTTATCCGTCTTTTCCTATATTTCTATATCTTTCCAGTTTGACATTTCCAATTATCATATATGGGTATCTCAACAATTCAACATACATTGCTCTAATGTGTAATACATCAATTCCGATAAATTTCGCCTTCTGAATGGATTATCTAGACTTCATATATCCATTTTAGTTAAGAATCAAATAGTATTTTTGAACCTATTTATTTACTGAATTCATTACATAAATGTATATTCCTGAAAGAATTCAGTGTTCTTTCTAAGTAGAACTGAACTAACTTTCCTATGGATAATCACAGTTTATTGAATAATAGCGAGAAATTTCATTATTCATAAAGGTTAAAAAAACTAACATGTGAAGAGGCAGTCATCAAAGTATAGTTTCGAATCGTTTATCAATTAATCCACTTAGAAGTGTCCTGTTATTTAATTTTAACTGAATCGTAATAAATTCATCGTGATATTTGTTAGCTTGTCTAGGAAATGCTGGATCTGTGTTAAATGCAAGTTAGCACCCGTTAGAAATCTTGTGAGGACTGATGATTCCAGAAGGATTTGAACCCATCTTATCCAACTTCACGATTTGAGACGTTAACACTAAGCTATTCGGCATGCAAACATATATATACCATTATAATCTCAAAAACCACTTTTTCAGTTCCTAAAAAAAATAAAACATTCATAAGTTTCTATTGCATTTCTATTCATTCAGAAACTTTCAACAAATACGAACAATAAATTCCCCTTTAAGCTTTATTATAACTTGTAATTGTTTTTTCTTGATCTTTATTCATTCATTTTGTAGAACAGATCAGTATACAAACACTAGCAAAACATATATAATTGAATTCTTCCTGTTGATCATTAGAATAATGTATTTTCAATTAAACATTGAGTCAGTTCTATACTCAATTATGGAAAAATTCAAAAGAACACTTAATATATTTATAATGTTTCAGTGGAAATATCCCATAAAAAGATCTTTATATTCATATCAGAAAATTAATCATTCAATAAATGGTTCTTTAATTAAAAAATCATTTATAATATCAATGTTGGTGAGTTTGATTCTGATGGAAATTTCAGCAATGTAAGTTCATTTTTAGTTAGTATATTGATAATAATATTTTGTAATGAATCACTTTTCGTAAACAATCGTAATACAAATTTATTTATCCAGTTATCGAAAGTTTATTAAACTATATAGTTTGTATCAGAAGGGGTTTTCGTGGATAGTATAATAATCTCGCATGCGAACGCTTAATCTTTAGACCAATGAGCTGGCATCCAACGGCACTAATATTTAACTTCAATCGATCCATGCTCTTGCATTAATTTTCATAAATTCTTTGAGGTGGATAACTGTCCCATATCCGACACGGACTTCACTGGCTACAACTTCTCACTAGAACTCCAGGAAATCCAAATTGAAGCTAGTCACTAGTGAGCACATGATTATTATCAGTATGGGGCTTTGAGGGGATTGTAGATGTTCCATACTAGAACAAAACGGCCGTTCAGTACTTCCAGGCTTTCAATGGTGTTCTGGCTTAGATTGACTCGTGAATTCAACTGTTAAATTACTTTATTCCTCACAAAGTCCCATACTGATAACATACAATTTCAACGCAAACTCCATAAAAAATCACGATAATTTTTACAGAAACACAAAACCTTAATTATTTACATCATTCACAAGCAATAAATCACGATATGTACCTGTCAACCAAAAACTCAGTGAATTTTTAGCAAAACATTTGATAGAAATATTTCAATGTCTGAATTCTATGTCAAGTGAATTCTAAACATATCCTAAGGTATACAATTATTCATGATAATAGTTAAAACATTGAAACAAAAATTATTCATATCTGTATTCCATTGTCGGTGTCCAATGGCAATTTAAGTAGGTTGTTTAGATCCCTTGAGAACACGATTCTTAAACGTAAGAATGTGTTCAACTTTTACAAAAATATTTCAATTCCTATGACATTTTCTAGATGAAACATAACAATAGTGACAATAAAGAAATTAAGATTATTTTTTTCTATTTTGGATAGGATATTGAATTAATATATTAGTTCGGCTCCATTATAGTATACTTTCAAAAGGTTTTAAATTGTTTTATTATGTAAGTTGCATTATTGAAAATCATCTTAAACTATTAAAGAACAATGAATGTTTATTTCTTGATTTTATTACTTAACTTTTGATGAAAAAATACAAAAACAAGTACTTTATGGAAATATAATTTCAACCATTGAATAGTTTTGAAAATGCAAAGTTGTCATGACAACTATCTCACATTTGAATTTAACTGAAAAGTGGATAGTAATAAATGAACAACCGTATAAAACATTATATTTTGTTGCTAATTACCAAAGTTTTAAGATGTATATTGAATAATGTACATCAATAAGTTGAAAATTGGTTTGTTCTTTCAAATGCTAGAAAAGATTTTAGACTTTTAAAAACTGTTAAGTAAACTAGATACATACATCTATTGGAATATAAAAACAAGAACCAATTTTTTTTAAAAAAGTATCAAAATGAGCTAATCAAAGAATTGACTAGTTGGAGACATAAATTCCATTGACCCATGGAAAAAATGGTTAAAAGAGCACCAACTAGGCTTATCGTTATTGATATTATTATTTTCCGTATGTTTTATTGGCTTACTTACTAAATTTAATACTGACTTTTTAAATTTATTTCATAAGTAGTGTTAAACCAAATTTGAATGTTTTTTTTTAAAACTAATTACTGCTTAGGATTATATCAGAAATGCAGTGACTCTTCATTTTATTCATATGGATTAAAAATACTTGTTATGTTTCTTCTTAAACGTCGAATTTCTAACAAATAGCTGCTAAGAAATCTGAAGTCAAACATAATGGTAAAATAGGGAAATTAGCACTCTTTAGTGAGTTAGTTTTCTACGGGATAGGGTCGCTAATCCAGTGCCTAACCCACTTAGGGCCGGCAGTAGCCCCAGGGGGCTCCAGGCGGAGTTAAAACAGTAGAATAAAAAGTACTAAATGAGACCGTTTGTATTTTCTATTCAAAATCATTGAGCTGATTTATATTGTACCAATACTCAGTACGACAAGCTAATGATATTCAGTTACCTTCACATAAAATGGGTTTGGTTGAAGTTAGGTAGCTTTCAGAAAAGAAATATTTTTTGATCTTAGAAATCAGGATAAGGGTTATTCAAAGATTAAAATATCTTTTGGTTACTAAGACTAAATTTCACCCTCAAGAAGTTTCAGTATGACGTTTTTCATATTTATATGTCATCATCTTGAGAGCCGTTTGTAAGCAAGAGACGACGGACAGTTAATATATCATAATTTAGGCCTGTTTAACTCATGAATTCACACTAGATTTAAAAGAAGGAATTTATAACATGGTATCGTTGAACCACTGAGGCGATTCACTACATCCAGAAAATTAATTGCTGCCATCAATAAGGGAAGTGGTTCATTTACGAAATCATTGCTTTAAGAGGATGTTGGTTGAATGAAATCGGTAATGTGGATCATTGAATTCCAACTCACTAGTCTAAAGGTATCACCTGTGTGATGAGACTTGGATCAAAACCTATGGATGTTTATAGGTGCCCTCTGCTATGACATCCTACACCAATCCTAGGTCCAATTTCCTCAAACAAATCAGTCAAATAAGTTGTAATACATATTAACAACTTAAAACAATGATTTGTGTGTTTTGAAAGCACTCTGATCCCTATTGTCATTTCTAATTAGGAATCAAATGTAAACAAATAGGATTTGTTGAGTCAAATCATCTATTTCACCATTAACAAAAATTTAAAATAAGTTTATGTTATGGATGTGCTTTATCATGAAATCCTGCTAGATGTTGACAAAAATTACATATTCGTATGTCTTCTATTTATTAAATTTATTCTAAATTTCACTTATAAAGATATATATTTCGACTGCAGTATAATAAACAAAAACATGGCGAATATATAAACGTCAATGACCAAATATAACTTAACTCCAAAGGCTTACAAATCTTGTTTTTTATAAGATTCGCTCAATGCCCTTAACAAAAAGATGAATTGTCAACTAGATGCAAGTAGCATCACATACTATTTATCACGACTTTTCAGGTTACACTTGAGAAGTCTTAACCACAATCACAGAACATAAAAATAATTTAGACTTCGGAATCGTATGTTTTAAAGATTAACATACGGTGGATGAGCGATCACTTTACTACACCGAACAAATGAAAATTCTGCTAATTAAAAGTTACGGGTAAATAAATCCCAATCGCTCAGTACAGAATTTCAAACTTGTTTCTTAATATTTACTATCGTTAATATTCATTAGATATACACAGCAAATTACTCGGAAGATTTCTTCACTATTAATCATTGCATAAGGTGGTCATGATTCATATATCAAAATTATTAGTTGTAAACAGAGAAATTTAGCAGTTTCTAAGCGGAACGACCCTACTACTTAGACGTTAAAGGCTTGTCTAAATACGAATGTTGGAGCCATTGAAATTTATAACTTCAAATGGGTTCTTTTGATTTTCATTTACTAACTTTTACCACAGAACAACATTGAAGTATATTAGTTCCGTTATTCATTTCATTGTTTAATATAATCGGTATAGATTTTAAGGTGTTATTGTTTGTTGGCATGCGTAAAACAGCAGTAAACTATAAATAATTATTTTATATAATACTGATATGAATAATTTCAGCTTTCAGAACTTTGAGAGAAATTCACTAAATCCGCAGATTCTTGAAAATAATTGGTTATATTAGAATAATTCAAAATAACTGAAAGATTGTTCGGAATTTCGGGGATGCAAATAATGAATAATAGAAAGCAATTTATTCAAAATAATCCAAGAGAATTTTTTCGTTTTACGAATTACGGTAAACCACTTTACCTACTTATAAGTAGTATAAAACGAATTGTTAGGCTCATGGGTTAATGCATTCGATGGTATTTAGATGACAAATAAACATTTTAATGATTGTTTATTGAACATTAACTCCAGAGAGCTGTAGCGGTTATTTCTAATTCATCCAGTAAGTGATTTTCTTTGAAATTCATATTTTGCGATCAGGCTGAAACAATCGTCTTTTTAAGTGAATCATGTGGATTTCACATAGCTTTTTCTTCATTCACAGAACATTTTCTTCAGAAAATAATGTTAATTTGACTAGTGTTGACAACCGAGAAACATTGAACATCTACTTCTTCCATGCTTAGAAGTTCTATACATTGTAAACTATTGACCTTATATGCTGAAGCGAATTCTTAGAGGTGGCATTGAATGTGGTAAGTACACATGATATGTCCCGAATTCGGATTAAACAAATATCTAATGCATCCAAATTTTTCTTCCTCTCTTATCTATACTAATCAATTAGGATTCTTATAGGAACTAATAAAAGATATATAAATCTATATTTATTTACTAACTAAGACTTAATTTAAAACAAGTATCGGAATATTATCAATTCACATTAAAACAAATATTCAAATTTAACAAATAAGATTCATTAGTTAAAAGAATAAAATGATCATTGCATAATATCTGAACTTCTTCGAGATTATTACCCTGAAGAAGTCTAGACAAGTTAGCTGGACGAAACTATGAAATTATTTAAATTTCAATCGCTGAGATTATTTCACATGTAATTTTCACATATAATAAAATGAAATAGTTACGTACTAAGATTTCATTTAATTTCTGTTCCGATAATTAGTGTTTTATGGAATTTTACTGCTAATTAATTTAATTAGTACAAAAGATTTATGAAAAATTACATTAGTTGGTATTAGTTTGTTTCTTTTTTTCATTCTCTTCCGATACATTTTTTTGTCAGACAGAAATTTTAGGAAGTGTACAATGAATCGATTGTTTGTTTATTTGTTTTTTTTTGAAAAACAAAAGTTACTCAGAATCAAACTTGATGTGCCGCTAATTATGAATGAGAAGATTTAGTTCATTTCGTTATCAAAATGTATTTCAAAGTTTTTTTCTTCTGAATAATACACTCCTAATTTATTAATTAAACTTTTAACTGATATTATTTGGATACAATCCACTCTTACCTGTCCTTTGCTCAACCACGACGGATGGTGTTCTGTTATACGATAACGAACTTGCTGAATTGTACGCCTTATATAACTAGCTCCACAGGAGTAGTTAAAATGGATAAATGCACATGGATTTGGTGAATTCAGGCAATCGGTCTTTACTGGCCGTTCTTATTGTGGGGCGGTTGTAGAAGATAGCACTCAGTCTGGCTGCACTAAATGTTTTTTGTACTGCTTTTCTCAATCTCTGAGTCACAAATTCCTAAGTAGTATCATTTAAGAATTGTAATTTTAAGGACAATACTTTCTTAGGAATGGTAGGTACTTTTGTTCTTCTTTTCATTTCCTTCATGTGTTTGTCTATGAATTTCATATATATTAGTGTAGAGCCATGATGAAAAACTAATTGAAAATAAGTTTCTTCGCTCGATTCGTTCCTTCTTTATCTACCAAATGTCAAAATGGAATTTTCACTGTTTTAAATTAACATTAAATTTTGTTTATGTTTTTAGTTTTTCTGACTGTCAACTAGGTGCACATCTCTTAATGTCATTTCTTCTTAAGTATCCTAAAAATTATCTAACTGGTAACAAAATAATTTATGAGTCAACCAAACTTTTATAAAAACCACCCTAAGTTTAAATTTCCATATAAACTATGTTAGAGAAAGAATGTTATGAGACATAATTAATAATATAAAGACCGGAAGATTGTGAATTCTATCACATATTGCTCCGTGAATACTTACTAGTCACAAACTTATATGAAATAGTTATTCAGCACTCTCTAGCATTATCTAGTTATTCTGTGGGAAAATAAACTTCAAATAAAGGGATACATATTTTCTCATTTACTTTGGAAAAATACAAGACTTAGAGAAAAGGGAATTGGAAAAAGGTTTTTTTATTGATGACAATAATTCAACTAATAAAATTTGTAAAATTAATGAATACAGTGAAACACATTACATTGCAAGCTAACATTATCAAATAAGCTAAAGAAAATATTGAAGTTATGGACAGCAGTTCTATCCTTGTCTAGAACTTGTTCTACACGTTAGAGGATATCATTCCGAGTTCTTAACTCTTCAGTTGGTACTCAAATCATCAATTAAATTATTGATTGATCGGTTTGATGAAACAAAGTTACTCCTCTTTAGTTATCTATTTCACTCGAACCGCCTATCACAAAAATAAGCGCCAAAGTAAGCTAAAGTTGCTCATGTATTGACAAATCCAAGGTAATGACAAATATTCCTTTGTATGCTGAGTCCAGGTTACATCTCAAGGAATCCCAAATCTACCATTTCCAATAGATAAAAATGAAGAAATCAGGACAGATTTGTACGACCCCATAAACAACCGTACACTCAGTACATGGGTTAGTCGACTGAACATAGTTAAATAATCAATTCGACAAATACCTTCCTCAATTATTATTCATCTAAACTGTTTAATAATCTACCTTTTCATTTATTTTACAATTTTATTCTCTAACTTACTAAATTGGTTCCACAAATACTCCCCTCTCTCACGCTCTCTGAATAATACATTTTACTGTAGTAGATAAGAATGAATTGGGAACAAAATATATTCCAAAAAAGGTACAGGAGAAAAAAGAAATGATATAAAATTACAGGAGAAAATTTTAGCACCTTCTGTATCCATATGTAGTGCTGACTGGTTGAAAAAAGATCAATAAGTTTGTTCGGAATTATTTCTTACTCAAAATGGAACTGTTAGAGATTCATCCACTTAATATTTACCACTTGGGAATTGATAAGTAAACACATGAAAAAACTCCTCGCTCTATACAGATTGCTTTTTTCTCACCTATCTTTACAATTATTACGCTATATGCTACATATTTTTAGGTATAAAAATCTGTATTTTTTTTTCCAGTGTTACTCCACCTTTCTGGATGCCTTCGGAGAGTTGGTCTAGTTGCTCTAAAGAATGTGGTGATGGTGTTGAAACACGTCGATTTTTATGTGTTCAAAATGATCATTACAATGCTACGACACTGTTAGATGAATCACAATGTGAACATTTACCTAATCCAAGTGCACAGAATACAGAAAACAATCAAAGAGCATGTAAACTCGGTCCGTGCGGTAAAGGATATCGATGGAGAGTATCTAACTGGGGACATTGTTCACAAACATGTGGTGGACTTGGTATAATGTCTCGTGATGTACAGTGTGTTTATTCAGGCAAAGATGGTGATCTTGTGATATCAGATTTCGATGCATCCTATTATTGTGGTAATTATCGACAACCTGAGAGACATGCATCGTGCAATCGATTTGCATGTAAGCCTGAATTTGTCCCCGAAAAATGGGGTAAGGTGAGTTATAAACTATAAGTTTAAAAGAAACAGTTTTCTCTGAATAACTTACCATTTAGCTAGTTAGAATATATGTTAACTTATGGTATTTTTGTTCTTTTTATACGTTTTGTAAATTAATTTTCAATATACTGCAAAATATAAATTGATGACCTCAGTTTTATGTTTATATAGTCGTTTTCTCAGATTGAAAAGCTTTGTGCGATTAGGTAAAAAGATATGTAGTTGTTCAGTTATTCTAGCTCAATTGAAATAAGACTGTGATGTTAAAGTATCCCATCTAATCAACGTTATCAACCTAAATATCCTTAGTTAGCTAAACTGTGTCAGATAGTTGACAGTGTTTGTATAATCTCGTTAAATATTTTAGTTTTCTAAAGAGCAGTTAGAAGAGACCGTTTATTTTAGTTGAACTTAAAACTACTGTTTCCGGTCAATGATAAAACAGTGGGAAAAGAATAGCTAATTGATTTGTTCTTATTAGATCAGGTTTATATTACAGTTTGAACTTTAAATACAACCAAATTAGTCATCACAAGAGGATAATTCCAAATAAATTTAGAATGTCATCATCGTATGAAACACTATTATGATTGTGCCTTACTTTGGGCTGTATGTGAAATTGTACGCTAATAAACATGGAAATACAATAACTGAGTTCATTGAATGGATTAAATTCTTAATAAAATTAGTTATAATATATGACTGGCTAAAAATCTTATAAAGACAGAGAAAATATGTTCGATATTCACTAAATTATGCTGCGTAAAACCCGGAAGAAACAACAAAATCTCTATCAAATGATGCACGTCAGTTAGTATACTCTTATTACATTATTGTAAAATCGACAAATCAGATTTTTGAAACCACCGTCGAAAACGTTCTTCGAAAGAGTACATTTTATTTGTCATAATTCTAATTTCTCCGTGATTACTTTTACAGATTACTGGTTTTTAATAAGTTGTACCATACTACTTACTTCTATATATTGTTCAGAATTGATTCGCTTTCAGTTCCTAGTCTAATTAAGTGGCCTTATTTTATTTATTTAAAGAGTAAATGCAATACAAATATACATCAGAATTTTTGCAATGATATTTTTTTCATTAGTGTATCCAAAGTGATCCATGTCGTCCAGGCAGACAAGTACGTCAATTATCGTGTATTTCCGTACAAGTCAATGGATCACTTCGCGAACTGCCAATGGCAGCTTGCTATATGACTGGGAAAACGATTCAACCAACATGGCGTCGATGTTTTGAAGAAAGTTCAAGAAAATGTGACAGCAAACCACCAATGATTAATACTGACACTTTAACTATTGTTCAGATGAGAAAAGTAGTTTCTTTAATTTTCCTACTTGTATACTTTTTTGTGTCTGGTTATATTAAAATTCAGTAAAATTCTAGATAGAATTAATCGGATTATAATTTCTTGATTATTCAGATATTTCAGGTTCCATTATTATATACCGCTCAATGTTTGGAAATTGATGAGAAATGCTCTTAACAACTAATTAGACATCACTCTAAATTTTTTCAATAATATCCAATGAAGTCTGATTGATCTGCATATTCACTTTGTATTTTATCAGATCTTGAACTGATAAATTCTTATGTACATATGACTTTATGAGAATTTATCATATCCAGGTTACAGATTACCCATAACCTAATACTCAATGAAAATAACTGAAATGATTAAGTTTAACAGTATATCATAAACAGAGTAGCTTTCTAAAAGCAACCAATAATTAGGACCAATTGTCACAAATACGCTAAAGCCTACAGAGTAATAAATACTAACTAATTTTTGAATAAATATGTAAATTTGCTGAAAAAAACTTTAATTAGTACATAACTGAGACTTTTTTCAATCCATTTCATTATAAACCGCTATACTAGTTTATATGTAGCAATCTAATAATCATAACATTTTGATTAGCCTTACAGAGTAATTCATAAATTTCCGTATATTTATTAAGCTAGTTTGTGGTAAAATATACAAACATTCAGCTTGAAAAACTCATAAAACTATTATGAAATACTACAGTCTGTGACTATACGCTCTTCTCTCCCTCTAAATGCAAGTTGTTGCTCCAGGACTGGTCTGCATCAACACCTGAACAAAGGATAGGGAGTGAAGTAGTCGAACGCGTCGACAACTTCACTTACCTTGGAAGTCTGAACAGCCCTAATGGTCATATTGAACAAAATATAAGCTCAACAAAGGAGTTTGTCTTTTTTTACTGTAGATATGAACAATTGGAAGATACCATGCACAATTGGTAAATATATGAAAACATTTTCCGAACTGTCCTGTTCATAGAACTTAATAATTATACCACTAGATATACAATGGATTTGTTGTGTAAAATTGCATAAATTAAAATAGTTTTGTCTAGCCTGTAATATAAACTAGATGACTACTTTCGGTCGACAAATAATAATATTTAATCGATTACCTTATTATTCACTCCTGATAGAAAATTTAAAATTCGATTAACCAGTATATTTTAGTTACCTTGATACATTTCACAAATGTCTTCCACGAACTTTGCAGAAGTAATTCCCCTAAGAGTGGCGATCATGAGATGTACCACGAAAGGAAAAATTAAAGATAGCAATTACAAGATGAAATACGTTCGTGTGTAGCTGTTTTTTCAAGATATTAATCGTATATTTATTTAAATATCTCACACAGCTACCTGTTGTTGAAGCAAGGGTAAATTTTCCAAATTTATTGTCAAATCTATTTCAACGAATCATTTAAGGAAGAAATAACACATTTTACTGTTTATCCTTTTAATAATGATTTTAACAAGTTCTAAATATTTTCGTAATTTATTTCTACTTTAGGTGAAAGTGATTGATTTAAAAGTTGGACAGCAAGCATTCGTAATACCATTTACCCGTGTAACCGTACGATGTCCTGTACAGTATTTCACAGCACAAGAATTACAATGGGCTAACCCAAATCATGGAATATTAGCCTATACAGGAGCAATATCTGATAGGATAAGGGTGGATAAACGGGGAAGATTACACATACGAAGTTTCCGTCTCATCGACGAAGGTGACTGGACATGCATAGCTGGTTCAATGAATGCAACAGTCACGCTAACAGCTAGAACTCCAGCAGCAGGATTCCATGATTGGGTCCAAAGAAACAGATTATGGACCAAAGGTATGCTTAGTGATGATCCTAAAGCAATAGCTATAAACCATGAAATTATTCAATGGGTTGTTGGACCATGGAGTACATGTTCTACAAGTTGTGGCCAAACTGGACAACAATTTCGTGTAGTTAGATGTGAAAAAGTTGATAGTCGATTCTATCAAATACTGAGTGATCAAGTATGCATTGATAAGCTATTGCCAAAACCACCAAGTACACGAAAGTGTTTAGAAAGTAACAAATGTCCAACATGGTTCGTTGAAAACCGTGATACATCTGTTGTGAGTTACCATAATGTACATTATAGTATTGCAAGTGAATTAAACCAATAAAAGTGGTTATTTTTTATTGAGATCATGAACGATTGATGTTGGACCACCGTTGAAAACCTGGACGGCCGTTTCGTCCTATTGTGGGACTCCTCAGCAGTGCGCATCCACGATCCCACTCGCGAGATTCGAACCCAGGGCCTTCAGTCTCGCGCGCGGATGTTTAACCTACTGGACCACTGAGCCGGCATCCAACCAACGGCCGTCCAATGCTTCCAGGTTTTCAACGGTCGTCTAACATCAAATCGGTTCATGATCTCAATCAAAAACTTAGTAATCTCCACAACCCCTATACTGATAAAAGTGACTATGTTTTTTTACCAAGTTATACTTCAATTAAATACTTTAGGAATGTTTTCTGAGTATATTTTAAGCTTCTTGACATAACTTTATAGGCCTAAATTTGTATTATTGACAGCAAGATAGAATTAAAACTAATTTAATGAATGAACATCAAGCCATTTTTACATAAAATAATTACATGAGAATATATTGTCTCATATGAATATATGGATAATGAAAGTTACAAACCGGAATATCTTATCTTTATTTTATTTGTAACTACATGGATACACAAGAAAAGAAAAGAGATTTTCTCTTTAACATTTAAGAATAATACATTTTTAAACTCATTTATCATGTAGTATTAGATCAATTCTAGGTTTTGAAGATATAGTGTGAATAAAACAGAATATGTTATACATTCGTTTAAATTGAAGTAGGTACAGAAGCACGATCTGTAACCAAATACTTTGTAAATTGACCAATTTTCTCGTTACCTTTGTTGTATGTTCGGAAATTGTTCTACGCATAAAAGCTTAGGAAGTTGAACTACATAGATATATTACAGAAGTAGAATTCGAATCAGAAATATCCATTAAATTGTACACTATTAATCAATAGGGCACATTGTTTGTCAAATTTTCAGTGTTGGTGAGATAAAATATTTTTAGAAAATAACTACCAGATTTATTTCTTCATAATTCAAATCACGGATTGAACATAGCTAGACCAATATTGAGAATCAGGAAGCACTGAACAACTGTTTCTTTCTAGGAAGTTCCTTATTCGTATTGCGCATGTACGATTCCACCATAGGTGATAGAACTCAGGACATTCAATTTTGAATCTAAGCGACTCACCTTTGAACACTGGACCGAGATCCAGTGGTGCACATGTTTCTTTCTTTTTATTCTTTATATTATATATTCCTTATATTTCGTCGATAACCTAAAGTTGTTTTTTTAAACTAACTCAACCATTTCTTTGTATGAATTCTTAATACTTCAAGTGCACAGATCGGTGTTTAGATGTCGGTAAAGGTTCAATTAGTGGAAATTTAGTCTGTATGATTGGTGAGAGAACAGTCGCCACAAAATATTGCGATAAATTAGATAAACCAAATATGGAATGTGAAAACCCTATATGTCAACTACGATGGAACGTTAGTAATTGGTCTCAAGTAAGTTAGTTGTTCTTGTCGTCACCCAATTAATCTGATTATTGATACAAACCGATCCCTTAAATGTTAACCAGAGAATTTCTAATTTGAAATAACGTAATTATATTGGGCCTTTATACAAAAATCTAATCGTGTGTATGTAGATATAATGTAGAAAACAGAACCAGCCATATGCATGTTTACCAGTTCAAAAGCTCCAGTGGAGTTCGTTGTACAACCAGAGAAATACATCACCATATTCCTTAACACCATCTTCCAAGGTTTACTAAAACCTAGATAAAGCGATGAGACTGTTCTGGAGTATTTATTTAGTGTTCGTAGAAAAATAGATACCAAGCTAGCCTTGAAATTTCCATCATATTTGTCATTTCTTGAGATTTCGTCTCTTATCTACATCAGGAGCCATAGGAACACAAATAATCTGGGTGGAAATATTTTTAAAATTTCATAGATTCTGGCCATCTACTTGATTTCGAGAAATTATACATACACTACTTAACTTTGTTAAACTTAAATTTCTAATTTTATGATTAATGGTCCTAAGTAAGCTGGTTTACCAATCCAATTATCCTTGCATCCGTTTCATCAGTACTACTAGAAATAATAGTAGACTCTTACATTAAGGTCATTTATTTCAAATATATTCAAATCCTATTCTTAGTCTTGTGCAACCCAGCTGCAATAATCAGTCTGTTATGTAATTTTGTCTTCATTTAAATCTTGCATACATTGCCTCAGCAACTTATTACTATAATTAGAGAAAATATTGAGATACCTTAGTAGTAAAAATAGTAAAAAAATTTACTGGTTATATCCCAATGAGAAGAAAGCTAAACGTCTGACGTTTTTCAGGTTAGTTTAAGTCACTTCTTCAAAGAGCGAATTGTAGAATTAATAAACTACCATTTATTTGGTATCCATTTTATACTTATTTTTAGAACCTATAGATTAGTAGGCAGCCACGACGAGGAACTAATTGAGAAAGAAAATATATTCCCTTAACTCCTACTCTACAATGTTTCAAATACAGATGATCGTAGTAAGAGTGGTAAAAACAACAAACACTCAGTGCATTACTTTCTTAAGTCAATGAATCAACAAGTTGTATGGTGATCAAATACTTTCTGTTAAGTTTTCAAAAAGGCCTATTCAAGTTAAATCTCTTCACAGATGCTTTCAACCAATTATTCACAGAAAATAAAGTGTATGAACCACAGTAAATCCGTCAAGATTTAATGATTTAAGCAGTTCGAATATGATGCATTCAGCTAAAATTTTTCTAATTCTAAGAAACAAATGAGATAAATTATAGATTAGCAAAAATGCACTATCTTATTTACTTTTTTAAGTCTTTTTCACTGTCATAAAGTATCACTAGTTAAATTACGGCTACTTGAAAATATATTATGGAAAAAGTACGTTCATTTTTATTTTAGTGTTCACGTTCATGTGGTGGAGTTGGTGTTCAAGCTAGACACCTTCTGTGTACTTGGTCACATAATGGTGAATTGGCGGGTTCATTGTGTTATTCCCATCAACTTGCTATTCCAGATGTGATACGATCGTGCGAAGTACCTCCATGTAAATTAGGTAAGTGGAATGAATCAGTTCACTCTTTTGTTAAGTGGTAATAAAATCAAAGGTAATTAGTACCGAAACACGTTATTGAATGGAAAGAAACCGAAATTGAAACTACCAACTAATTTTTGAAGACACTGACGTGTTTTGACAGACTTATTAGGTAGTTGCGTTCTGAATTCCATCACCTCATGTGATATTTGAACCAGTTATTCTTACGTCACATCGAAATTCACCGTCTGCATTTACAACTCCAATGGGATACTTAAGACTTATCGATTCTAAATTACGTTTCATGGGAATTAGTAGAAGGACCCTCAAAGAACCAATGTTCGGCCATTTTAATCCCGTAATCGAATCAAATCTTTGGAACCAAATTACAAAAGCCAAATGAAAAACTTATTTGTGCCCTATCAAGTTAGAGCATCAAATCAAAAGAGAAACTAATAAGAAAAAGTGTCTTCCCTACACCCCAAAGGATCTGATGAAGTACAAACTTTATCACTATGTGAATTATCTCTACAAAACTCGTTCTCCAAGTAATCTGATACAAACTGGACTTTAGTGTGAAGACCAGAGAATTAGGCACGGAGTCATTTGGGTGACAAACGGGAACTAGTTAGTCACAACCTTAAGATTACAACATATTGTTCAACTAATGCAAGCTTCCAGAATAGCTTGTCTACTTATAAATACCCATAAGTTAAATATTGATTTCACATTCCTATGTTTTCGGACTACGTAATTGAATTGGTCAAGCATAAGAAGTTTGGTAGAAGAACTAAGTGCCAGGTTATAGCGCGAGGTAAGAAGCCGATTGCCACCATCATTCGATAGATTAGAAACGTTTTATACAGATTACTTCAAATGCTTTCCTTATAGTGCATTATTTGTCGATTTCGGAAACAGGGAAAACTACCAATATATATTACGAATACACCGTATGACAAAACATCTTAGATACACTTCATAACTCATTGAACTCTATCACATTAATGATTGAAATAACTAAACTTATTGCGGTCAATTCTAATCGCTTTCTTCTTCCTTTTACTGTATTCAAGGTTGTGTTGACATGTCTAAACACTGTTCAAAGAGGGTAGAACTATGCAAATTTACAATATATCGTTATCAATGCTGTGAATCATGTCAACGTTATGTACAAATGATTTCATCTGCAAAAGATTCTTTGAAAAACTTTCAAAACGAGAAATTCTCCGACATATTTTCTTAATAAAAAAAAACAATGCATTTATACAAGTACAGAAGATAATCAAAAATAGCACAATAATAAATGAGGTCATTAACTTACACTTAAAACTGTTTGACCTCAGGATTGTTTTTCTAGCGGGTAAAATGAACAAAACAAAATTATTTGTAGTTTATCTTATTGATTTTCCTTTTTTCCAGTTCTGATAACTCTCTTGTTCTCTCTCTCCTCTACACAAAGACATATATGCTCATTTTGTTATCAGCATTTACACATGTATTCGAAAAAAACTACTTAAACGCACTAAAAAAACAGTAACAAACAACCGGTGCCCAGCATCACTATACTTTATATTATTTCATAATTACATACCAAACTATACCAATGTACAAGTGTCAATATATAAACGAAATATTTTGATAATAAAAGTATATTTACCTGAATACCACTAAACAAATCTTAATTATGAGGAACACAAATATGATAGAACATTAAAATAAAATCTATACTACTACTCCATTTTTCATATGATGTTTGTACAAATTGTACATACACAGTAATAAACAAACAACAAACTGTATTTATCAATTAATTAAAAATAATTAACAAGTATGTCATCATATTTACAGAAATATGTGAACATAAACAGAGTAAAATTGTTTTATTAAAAAAAAAACAACTTTTATTTTACAATGATGAATATATAATGTACAACTATCAGTCCATATGAACCATACACATATATGCACACATACAAACACAATACATACAACATATGAAAACTATCATATTACGCTTTATGGTATGAATAATTACTGAAAAACTACAAATAATATAAACAGTTCAAAAATTGAAAACTTTCAGTCCTGCTCTTCTCTTAAATCAAATTATGTAAGGTTATCGAGACAAAGATAATAATAATTCTATGCATACCTTTAGCATTTTCTCTTACCTCTTACATTATATATATATATATATATATATATATATATATATATATATATATATATAATGAGGATGGTGATTCAGTTGAATGTAAACGTTTTCAATAAGGTGAATGAATACATGTGATACTATATTGTTCCGTTTCAAAGTAAATGACTATTTCAAACGCCTAACATACAACTAGTAAATGAGAATAGTAGAGGTAATTAGGCACCAGGTAAAAAGAAAGAAAAGCAGTAACAATCAAATGGACGAAAGGAGTAAATACCAAATGAAGTATATATTTTATTGATCAATTGGAAAATTACTTAAATTTGCGAATCGTTAAGGTCTGAATCCAAGTGAAGAATGAATATTGTCCCCCAAAAGTTAAGACATACGGATTTATTCACAAAAAAACCAATGACATAATCCATGAGATTCGTCATCAGAAATAATTTTGATTATATATATATATATATATATATATATATATATATATATATATATATATATATATATATATATATATCATGCAGTCAAAATCTTATTAGAAACTGGATAGAAGGGATATGATTCTAACAATTACTATGCAGTTTATATTAAAGAGAACGAGATACGAACATCACTTCTATATTATTTATTTCGTTCTTATGTTCATCATAAATACATAAACTAAACTATATTAAAACAAAAATGGGATCGAACATTAGTTTATTACTTATCACATTCCTGTACATACAAATATACAACAAAATTAGAGTCAATATCCAATTATAAGAATCATGAATAATTGTTTTACAATTATTCATTAATAAAAAGATCTACACTACATCATTGGTGCACAGTGTGTATAACTAAAAGAAACCAACCAACTAAAAACAAAAAGTACTCATATACAAAACAAAAATCAGAGAAAAAAAACTAGATGAAATCTTTCCTTCATTCAGTATTTTGAAACTGTAGATTAAACAATAAAACAATTGGAGAAAATAAGAAACAATCCATTTAACTACTTGACAAAAAGAGAGCGGGAAGTGACAAAGATGGAAAAAACTTAGTTATATAAATAGATGAAATGATAGTTCAGCTAGTAAAACATTGAAACACAACGGATTAACTTGAACGAAAAAAATTCTTAAACCCTTTTATTCAAACTCTTGAAATATTTGTATACTTACAGTGAGTGTTGTAGTATTAGTGTGAATTTTACATACTGAAAGAACTGGTCAAAACGAGAAAAGAGAATAAACTAGAAAAGAATTTTCTAAATATGGTGACAACGAAAAATATATGATGAATTAATTTCGAAAGAAAAACAATGATGAATGGAAGACTCATAGTAATTAAGTAAATAATTAAAATAGTAGGCAATAACTGGTAAAATCAAGTCATTATTTTAATAAAGAAAAATATGAACTTATAAGATCTAGTATTTCTTTTCTTCGTTGTCGTTTCCATCATATGATTGATTGAAGGAAGTTTTCATAGTCGATTGGAATTAAACAAATTAATGAAACAAATAGCCTCACTTATCGGGTTGCATCCTGAAATTAGAGACAAATAATAAGCAGGAGTAAAAGTATCACATTTTTATACAGAGAAAATATGTTGGGGGACATTCCGACAATCTGAAAACTCATGTGATTAGTGACCATAAGTAAACATCTTAAAAACCTCATAGACACTAAACACTTTGAACCTTTATCATGTATGATAAAGATATCTAGTGTTTCAGAAGTCTTTTAATCCTTTCAAACAACGCATTTCATCCACTTATACTTTTAATAAAATAAAAACGTGAATTGAAAGTTTCTTTAAAATATTCAAATGATTCTTCTTGATATTTTTTATTTACACAAAAGATTTAATGATATACAACTCTTGTTAAATGTATGCTGAAATCAATTTATATAAACCGAGACTACACATTGAATGCTAAATTCTAGCCGATTCAACAGTTGTTTGTTACGAAACTACAAAAATGACTAATTTTAACACAATTACATTCCAAAATTAGATAGATTCGGAAATTGACTTACCAGCTTACCATGTACTTTTATTAACATACATGGCTTTGAAACACAATTACGAGTAAGGACTAGTGATATTACTAAGTTGACCTAGCCAACGTAGATGGAATGGGAACTGAAACTGGGACTAAAAGTCGAACGCCTTGACCACTAGGCCATAACTCACAAACGTCCACAATAGAGCAAATGCATTTTTGTCTTTCTCCCCCTTAAAATATTTTATACATACTTTTTCACTCTGCCTTTTCAAACAATAATCTCAATGTCCAGCCATTATTATTGCAAATGGATTATTTTGATTTTATTCCCGCTCATTTTAGTAAGCTTATCTTGTAGTGCTAATGTGGTATAGCAAGCTGGGGCAAACCATTTTGTTAGCAGGATAATAATCACTAATAATACAACAAAAATGTATTAAAGCGCTGCAAAATCCTTTGAAGTTCAATTCATAATGTTTATATAAACTTATTCATTGCTGAATATTTAGATACATTTTTATAACTGGAATAACCTAGTTTAAGGTTACAAGAGAATTTAAGATGAATTTAGTTGTGCCAGGCTCTAAGTTCATTAAAACCTGCTGACTGAGTAAAACAGCATTGGTCGGCATCAATAAGGCTTAGAGTCAAACAATAAACGTGGGGATTCCGTGTTATCATTTTCATTACCAGTAAACACAAGTTTAGATTGTTTCGTCCTCTACTCGATTACGGTAGGATACGGTATACAACTGTCGGCACTCGAACTTGTGGAACCCTCATAGTCGCAAATCAAAAGACAAAAGAAGCAGAGGGAGCGGTCACTGGGTAAGAATCACAAAAGTACAGAAAAACAGGGGTATTTCTTAATTTTTAGCATAGGCTATAACATCATTATAATCAAGCGAATCCGCAATTAGGAAAGTCATGCAAATGTCTAATCATAGCATCCCACGTTGATATTTCAAAAGGTTCTATCAGGTTCTGATTGGATTAATCTATTTAGCTCCTTTATAGCTTATGGAGGCTTCATTATGCTTTTCGACGTCGTCCCAACATAGAATAAAAATAACGTCAAAAATACATAAGTATTTGAAAGGCTAACTCCACCTGTAGCTCTTCTAGAGTTACTGCCGGTCCCAATCCCAGGTAGAGGAGAAAGATTTGGTGTGGTGGTCAGCAACTTCATCCCGTACAAAACAACCTTGATAAAAAAAACCACTGACTAGAATAAACAATTTAAACCATATAAAATCTGCCCTCCGAGTTCAAGGAAGAATTATGACGCCTCCTGAGGAAAGCCGAGATCCTTTGGAAATCACGAGACAGATGCCCCGTTTAATAACCAGAGCAACACTTCTTCTAGGTACATGGAACACCCGGAAAATGTGGAAGACCGGAATGACCAGCCAAATAGCAAAGGGAATGAGGAGATACAACTTGGCAGTACTCGGAATAAGTGACACATAATGAACCCAAACTGGACAGAAAAGGATAGATTCGGTAGAGATGCTACTGTACTCCGGTCACAAAGAGGAAAATGATTCACACTTAGAAAGTTGCTCTGATGCTTTCCAAATGGTCACGAGAAACATTTGCAGAATGGGAATCACGTGGATACAGAACCATCAAATCATTCTTCAAAACAAAGGAGCAGGGAATTAAAATGAATAATATCCAACGTTATGCACCCACCAATAATGGCAACGACGACGATAAAGATCAGTTCTACGAAAGGCTGCAATCGATTATAATGGAGAGCCCGAGAAAGGACATGACCATCCTGATGAGAGATCTAAGCGCCAAAGTCGGGATGAACAACAACGGTTATGAAGATATTATGGGACAACATGGACTAGGAGAAAGAAAGGAAAATTAGGAGAGATTTGCAAATTTATATGCATTAAACAAACTGGTTATAGACGGCACAATATTCCGACACAAACGCATACACAAATCTAGATGGGTTTCACCAAACTATACCACAAAGAGCCAGACAGATCATATTTGCATCAGTAAAAAATACACAAGTTCAATGGAAGACGTGAGAACCAGGGGGGAACTGACATAGCTTCGGATCACCATCAACTGGTGGTTGCCAAGTTGAAACTGAAGCTAAAAATCAATGGACAACTGGACAAGCATCATTACAAAGGTTCAATACACCCTTCCTTCGACATATTGACAAACTCAACCAATTCAACAGAGCTCTCGACAACAAATTCCAAGCCTCACAAGGTCTACTCAAAGAAGAAAAAACTAATGTGGAGGACAACTGGAAATTTATCAAAGAAGCACTAACTTCAACGTGTCAGGAAGTTCTGGGCCGCGAAAAGCATCATCATAAGGAATGGATCACTATCGAAACCCAGGGCAAGATTCAAGAAATGAAGGACAAGAAGACAGCAATTAACAACAGCCGAACAAGAACAGAGAACGTCAAGGCAAACAAGCAAGTGAAGAAGAGCATTAGAGCTGACAAGCAGAAATGTGGGGGAGATATAGCAACAACATCGGAAAGGCTGCAAGAGAAGAAAATATCAAACAACTATATGATATAACGAAGAAACTGGTAGGGAAATATAGTAGACCAGAGAGACCAGTCACGGACAAACAAGGCAAGATAATCACATGGATTCAAGGACATAGGGACAGATGGGTAGAACACTTTGAGGAACTCTTGAATAAAATAGCTCCATTAAATCCACTAAACAGCGAAGCACACACGTACACATTTCTACATATGTCGCTCTATCAACGATCGAAGAAACCTGCATGACCATCTGACAAATCAACAGTGGGAAAGCAGAAGGTCCTAACAATACACCAACCGAAGCACTAAAATCAGACACAGAACCAACTGCAAAAATACTCCACGTTCTATTCAGGAAGATATGGAGGAAATTAGGAAAAGACGTTGGAAATGGATAGGACACACATTGCGGAAATCATAAGTGCATCACAGGGCCATCTCTAACTTGAAATCCTGAAGGGGAAATGAAAAGTGGAAGGTCAAAGAACACACATTGGAAGCAGACATGAATAGGATGAATAGCAACCAGAAACAACTGGAAATGATTGCACAGGACAGAGTTGGATGGAGAATGTTGGTGGGTGGCCTATGAGGGGTAACAGGCGTAAGTATGTATTTGAAAGGCTAACTTACAGATCATCGTACGATGGTGGTGAAATACTGCGAGAATTATCACGAAGATACTGAGATCCAAAAACCCTATTGTCAGGTTGAGGAAGTGCTGTCTCATTCTCTTCATTAAGACCATCAACCCGGATTGAAATTTCAGGGACAGAAACATTACTGTCAACTGTACATTCAGAAACTGGTCGTGTCTTCCTCTTACGTTTGTCATTACTTAGTTTGGATGGAATTTTGGATTTTCTGACATGGTTTGATTCTTTTGCACTTGAAGGGATGAGCACACTGTTTGGTCTAGAATTGGAAGCAAAAACAGACACGATTCAATAAAATAAGAACTCCACTGAACTGAGTCAATGAGACTTGAAAAATAATAGTTTAGTTACTATTTATCTAAACGGATGCAACTCATCCACCCATTATACATTATCTACTCAGTATATATATATATATATATATATATATATATATATATATAGTAACCCCAAAAAATATATCTTTAGAGTAAACACACTGGATATAGGGAGATACTATTCAATCAGTGGATCTTGAAGCCTTTATTCCTATTAATCAACCTCTATTCTTCGCATCCCGAAATAAATGGATTTCAAAATAGTGAGCTTATCAGATGTTACAATAAATTAGTTTCTACAGTAAGAAAGAAATGAAGTCTTCATACAAAAATGCCATGATTTACTTTGACTGGTACAACCTTATTACAATGGAGTAGTGGTTCAGTCGTTACAGCGTTCAACTTTCAGCAACTAAATCACCTGTTCAAATACCGCCCCACTTATTTTGGTTTGGGCAGCCAGGTTAATTAGTTCATAATGATGATAATAATGAATAAATAAATAAATAAAAGATTTATTTAAAGGCACATGCCTCCCATAAACAGCTATTATTGAGTTCATAAACTAACCACCCAGTGATACAAAAGCGTTTCCTTATGTGTTTTGAATTCATAATGCTGATCAGTGAAAATCTAACATGACTACTTGACTACTAGTATCTTTTTAGCATCATTTGCACACAATGAGACGGTAATATTCCTCATACCAAGTGATCAATTCTCAGTCTTCACTATTACATTTTAGTGAACCACAGGAAAACTCGACTCTCAAAACTTCACTAAAAGATTCAAAAGTTAAACAAGCATCCGGAAGTCTATTTATGACATAGATTCACCACTCATATAATTATAAGAGTAGATTATAAGCACAAGATCTAAAACCTTATCACTTTGAATAATTACGCAACTCACACAAAATTTAGTAACACGTCTCTACGGTAACTGAATTATTCTTGAGCAGCAAAAGATATAACTATAATTAATGTTCAAATAAACATTTACACTTAAGACTACTATAAGACATCATCAATCCGCTATTACGTAAATACTTCTTAAATATATAAAAACTAACTAACATGCCACATTTTTTATATTTCCGACAGGAAATACTCAGTTAAGAAATTGTGAAGTACGGTGTACAATGTTTAAAACAAATTGATTGACAAGTTTCGGGAATACGTCTTTTTTAATTTGAATTTTTATTATATTTTCATGGATTTCAATTTCTTGTCACTTCGAATCATTCGATTGCCAACCATAGATGATGCACTATTTTTATTTTATCTGTATCTCAAATGTAGTTAGTTTTTAGCAATTTAACTTAGTATATTGTATATCTGTATTGTGAAATTTTATTATTCAGGTATGTACATAATTGTCTTCGCTTCTCTCAGATTAGCATTAATGACTAATGTAGACAATTGATTGATGTTTCTTTCTGTTAAAAATAATATTATTGCAGTTGTTATACTTTAGATAGTTTTTTTAGTTTTCATCTGTTGCTGTCTATAATTCCTTAGCAACAGAAGTTAGAAGCTTACTTACACCTACACTAGGCGTTGCATTTTTTAAAGTCTTTTGTTGATCTGTAACAGCTTGTTGTATAAAGACATGAGGTTGTGCTAATTCATTTTTGTATTGGTTGTTTGATTTATTTATTTGAACACATAAATATTGGTACAAGAGAGCGCCAATATATATGCGCCACACAAAACAATGAGAATTCGAAGAGAAAAGAAAAAAAAGGTAAGGGGCGTAAAAAAAAGAGAACAATAACGAAGAGATTGGTGTAAGGTAGTGTGGTAGTAATGAGGGAACGGATAGGTACAACCAGAAGAAATCTTTCAGTTAAGGGAGACACAACCACTTTTTATGAAGAAAGTAAACGAAGGTTACAGCAGGATCGCCACTGGCTTCTATTCTGAGCCATATCTGATGACGTCTCTAGCCACTGTGTAGCACCATCTCTCGGACCCCAACCAGGGAGTCATGAAGGACCAACACAAGCCAGCCCTTTGCAGATTTCTTTCATGCCACGACACCATGTCATGCACTGACCACCTCTCCGCTTCTTCCAACCAGTCCCAGAGTCGGCAAATAATGCACGACGTGGAATTCTCTGGGACGACATTCGGAGAACATGTCCAAGCCACCGAAGTCGGTGTTTCAAGATGGTGACACCAATTGAATTATCATCTCTGTGCCCGAACACACGATGCCGAACCTCTGCATTACTGACATGATGTTGCCACTGGATGTCAGCAATCCTTCTGAGACAGCGATGATAGAACACAGAGTGTCGTCTAACGTCCTCAACTCGGAGAGGCCAGGTTTCACAAGCATAGAGCAGAACTGCTCTCACCGACGCGCTGTAGATCTGACCTTTTACAGCCAGACTAACATCATGAAGGCGCCAAAGGTGGCCCAGATTGGCATAAGCCGCTCTGGCTTTCACTAAACGTGAATTGATCTCATCACTCACACCCCCACCAGCACTTATGCAGCTACCCAGATACACGAACTTCTCGACTACTTCTATCTGCTCACCATCCAGAGTGAGTACAGGATTAGAATCCCGCCAGTCTTGTAGAAGTACTTTGCACTTCGAAAGTGCAAAGCACATACCATAACTACGGACACTGATTGCCAACTGATTAAGTGCTGATTGCATGGCCTTGGCATTATCGCACAGTAAGACAATATCGTCCGCATACTCAAGGTCGAGAAGTCTTTCTCCAGGTAACAGATCCACACCACCATTACTTACATCCATCAGAGCTGTTTCCAGAATGTCATCGATGGCAAAGTTGAAGAGGAATGGTGAGATTGGGCAACCCTGCCTAACCCCTTACGCAAGCTTTGCCCAATTTCTTTACGTAACATCCTTCGTTTATGGTCAAACTCACGGTCACCCGGAGTAGACCGACGGGCTTCAATGAGTTGTAAGGAACCAGAAGAAACCCAGTGCTTATAAGCGGGACGTTTCGCGAACCCACAACTGACTGTACCCGCCATTTTCATGGCGTCATGCAATTGCAACCAATGCTCATCTATACTTTTCGGTGGAATGGTAGCTAGCCTAGAAACTAGCTCGGTTCGATAAACACTAGCAACAGAAGTTACAACCAGCTTGCTAATATCAATCCGTTGATGGCGGTCACTTCGTTGTCCACTGAAATGTAAGGCAAGATTGGCGCAGACCAAGGCATGGTCAGAGTCCAGATAGGTACTCCAAAAGGAGCGGCAGTCTTGTACACAACCACGCCAGCGGTAGCTGATCGCGATGTGATCAATCTGAGTCCAGGCTTGGGATGCAGAGGGAGGACGCCAGGTGGCACATCGGCGATGACTGTGCCGAAAGTTAGTGCTAGCCAGAAACAGGTTGTGGTCTGTGCAAAGTTGCAGTAGACGGTCCCCGTTATCTGTCCTGCGACCAACGAGTCCCCATCGGCCACCTAAACGACTTTCTTCTGTGCCTAGACGCCCGACCTGAGCATCCAAGTCTCCGGCTAGTACTACAATACCTGTCGAACGCACTTTGTTTGAACCTTCCAATTGATGTTTAGGACTGTAATTGATCAGTCTCTTATTGAAATATGTGCATCCTATGCGGATTGCCTTCAGTCACACGCATTACAAGTACAGATTTATGTTGGCTAACAGTGGATTCCAGGACGCGTGAATTATCCTATTTGTAATTCGTCAGCTGGATGTACCTCCATTAGTTTCAAGGCTGACCTATTGAATTCACAACACAAATTTTGAGGTCACTTAAAAATAAAGTTTTAATTTTAATATAAAAAAGGACTGAGGACAAGTAACCTAATCATGAGTTTATGATAAATATAATTATGATCGTTAAAATTTAGGGAATTATTTCAAGTCAAATGTTATTAATATTTCAATACGAATGGTACAAAATAAGCATTCTCATCATAAATTTCTGTGTGATTTCTAATATAAGTAGTAAGAGAAAGCAGATATTTAATATACAATTAATGTCGACATTAAATAATAATTTAAATTTCGAAGTTTTATGGAAAAATAATACGATTTCTGCAGAAAATTACACACTAACCTTTGATAAAAATTATTCTGTTGCAGAAATTCAGTATTTGAGTTGACACCAACTGGTTCAATATCACTAAAATTTCTACTGTTACATGGAATAGGTTGTAAAGGCAAGTCGACAGCAGACAAAGGATTTGGATGTAACACAGGTAACGGTGTTTGACGTGCATTGGATGGAGGAAAGTCCAGAGGATGTATAGCTGCATTGGGTTTAGTGGAAAATTTCTCAGAATTTATTTGGTGGCGAATAACTCCTTTAATATCTTTGGATTTACGAGACTGTCTCCGTGAAGAGCGTGGGAGACGACTAGTACGTGGATTAGGCGAACCAGCCCATCTTACAGGATGACCTTTAACAGTCCAAATAACAGGTTGATCGACAGAACCAGAGGGAATATGACTGGAAGTTAAGAAGGGAGTCAGGTTTGGCATAGTACGATTCACATTATGTAGACGAACAGGTGGAGTATTATAGGCACACATTTTGACGAAAGTAACTGCACCTATAATAACGGCTAAGGCAATAAGTATAACCGCCCACCAATGCATCTACAAAAGAGGTGGAATAAACGAAAAATAAACCTATTTCATGAGAAACAAACTCGGAAAGTATAAGCAATAATAATTAGTAAATGAGAGATAACAAACCTATATTAACATAAATAGTAAACTTACTATTATCCATGTTTTAACTTTCTGAAACATTTGTGGACTGAATACCAAGTTTCTTAATCGAGAAAGTGGTCCCTCTGCATCAACCAAGAGACAGCGCATGGAAATATCACAGTAGCCCCGATAGTTATCACAAGGAGCTCCAGGAGGCAATTTAATGCCGCGTCCATTACGTAAAACTTCAACAGCCAATTGAGGATATTTCGCTCTTAAATCTAGCTCCTAATGATAATATTAAAAAATCGACATGCAATAATTAACAGTCAAAATACTGTATAAACTACAATAGATTATCCAAACTAGATGGAAAAGAAACAAACCTGTGGCAACTAATGTGGTAAAAAAATTTATTAAAATGCACCTTGACAAACCATGAGTTAGACAAAAACACTGAAAGAGAATATACGTTATCCAATACTTGAGATAGTTTGGAAATTAATATTACTCCAGTAATATGCAACAATAGGCTTTTACGATCATGGATCCGTGAGTACAATGGAGCACTCCTATTTTCTATTCAAAATGTTAATCTCTTATAACTCCTCATTTAGAACAATTCAAATTGATGCATAATTATGAGCACTAAGACATTAAGCCAACGATATCACAAATTTTCAAAACTAGATGCCCAATAAATTTGAAATAATTTTAGCTTAAACACACACTAAACTTTTTTTATAATTAGGGTGAACAAAATCAGACACTACTATTTAAATTTTACGTGATCATACTTTCGATTAGGAATGAAGAGATTATTTTTCAAGGCATAAAACGACAAATACATACAAAATATCTAAATACATCAAGCTCAGTGGTTTAACCGGTATCAGTACAAGATTTAAGAACTCGAATACGGGAAACCAAGTCAATAACAGTGGTAGAAAATCACATTAACTTTTAGTGAGCCTTCTTAAGACCGTGAGAATCGGTTGATTTTACTTACCATGTAACCATGTTCTTTTAAGTGCTGTCAAAGTTTGGCTACCAGCTAACAAAAAATTCAAACTTATTACCGGCAATTCACAATTTTGTACTGAGAAAAATATTTCAGGGACACTTTCTTCAATATTGCTCCTGGAGGTCAACAACTGTGTAAATAAATATAAAGCGGAAACTATATCCTACAGTATTTTCTATTTCGAACAAATAATATAACTACTAGATTGACGTTAGAAAATCTTGGTTATATACAAGAGGAAAAACACCTAAAAATACATGCTATATAGGTTTTATGATCGATTTTGCTTTCAATGTTCAGAGTATGAGGGAGTTTTAAGTGAAATGTATTTGCCTCATCGCATGATCATGACTTATCTCAGAAACATGATCACCTCGAAGGAAAATCAATTAATTTAGCTTTCCGTACATGTACAACAAAGACAAATTTTGTAAATGCTGAACAGGAAAGCAAATGATTATACACCACATTCTATGTATATTTTTTTAGTACAAACTCCAGGAACATTGATTATACAATAGTAAATATAACACACAACTTTACATTATCTCGTTTCCATACACTATAAACATAAACAGGATAGATAACACTACAGAAAAGTAATAAGCACTGAAAATGGTGAAACAACACAAGTAAAGTTGTAGTTCGTTTGATAAAACAATGTAAGTAAAACTTTCACAATAAAAATAATTAGTACAGTGAAAAGGAAGCTGAAACAATAATATTTATGTTTATGGAAAACTATATCTACAAAAGAAACAGCAAGTATAGTAAGGATTGTGGAAATTGTTGGATTTTCATAGTTTTACATCACAAACTGACCTTTAATTAGACAACATTGAAAATCAAGAAACAGCTGCTTCGTGACTATCAATATTTATCTAAACTTAAGGTCAGTCTATGATGTGAAACTATGAGAAATATAGTTTAATTGACTGATATAATTTTGTAATGAAAAAGTGGCAGCGTAATGAGTTTTAGAAGATGGAATCACCATTCGATTGACTAAATAAAAGTTGGAAACTAGTCGCGTTATATACAAAAAATCCAACCAAAGTAATATCACTTATTATATAATAAAGATTACAAATAATTTGATGACTGTTAACTTAAAGTTTAAAGAAAAAGAAAGAGTACATACAACTGCAGCCAATTTTGAGCCATGCATCTTAACGACTGGCTACGATTATGCATGAATGCAGTACAAATAAGTGTAATATCAAGTGGATTATCTTACAAACACTCAGTACTATAATTCTGATTAGTGTTAGGTATTACTGGTAGACCTCTGTCGAGTACGAAACAAGAGAAAATAATCTATATACAAGTTAATTTAAATGAATTAATTTCATCAACTTTAATTATTGATAACATGAAAATTTAGGATTTTCTTTAAGCAAAAATAAAACCGATGAATACATTAAAATTGACTTATTGAATGTAACAGACATAATTAGAAATAGAAACTCAAAAAAACCAAGGGACAGAATAAAGCAATAGTCGGATGATTTTAAGGATTATTTCAAAAACATTAGTAGCATCAATATTCAAGATTTCTACATAGTTTAGCATGGCTTTATGAGTATTGAAAACAAAAATAAACCAAAGATTGAGTAAAATAAATGGATGAAAATGTTGGATTGTATAGGAAAGTCTAGAATCAAATCCAATAAGACTGCACCATTATTACTCATATTATGAATCCAAGCGAAAGGGTGAGGAAAACTTACTTTTTCTAACTGAAAAGAACTAATACACGGTGCACCAGAAATATTCTGCTTACATCCGACGAAACACATTAATTCAGGTACGACCTTTTTATCTCGAGTAAAAGAACATTCATGCCAACCAGGAATACGCTCACATATTGAACCAATACATTGACCCTGTTTGCAAACACGTGTACCATCCTAAAAACAAATATGATTTGATACGGCAAATAGTGGCAGTAAAAACGTAAATTTAGAATGAGTTAAAAAGAAAAAGAGTTCAAACGTTACATGACTTGTTCAAATTTGTAATAAACCAATGACTCTTTTAAAGAAAAGAAATGACTGTTTAAATGGTAAACCCAGTAAGCATTTTTACAGAAATAATGTTGAAGGCGAACTATAAATAGTTTATTCAGACCGTAACTGCTACCACGACCTAATCAAGATGCATTAGCTGAAACACTTATTCTTCGAGGTTCTACTATGATAGGTTGGTCTATCGGACAGAGATAAGACTGAAAACCGTAAATCGTAAGTCTGAGGGTGAAATTCTACTACCAAATGTAATAGGGTGAAGTGGTATTAAAACGCTTCCCACGGATAACCTAGACCACCAGTAATATTTCTCCAGTATTGGCAGTAAGGCATAGAAAATAAAGAGCTAACACATTAAAAACTAATCATGAAAAGTTGTGAATGACGTCAACCCTCAAGCATTTGTCTTTCAGGTTTTATTGTCACTCTCTTGGTTTGTTAAGACCACAACTAAACCGGATTCTTTATCAAGCACCTCAAAAAGAATTATCTTTTCATGATGTGAGCAACTGGGAAGTGCCAATGGCTCATAAACTCATGATAGCACTCAAGCTCATACCTCTGATAAACAGTTTACTGAATTTCGTTCAATAAGCTTAACTAGTGTTTTTGAAGTTAGATGATTTCTACACTTCCAAACACCACAGTAAATTATACTGTCATCATAAAAGGGTTTGGTGTACAGCATAATTCAAATTAGATGAAAAATTATTTGCGACCGAATGTATAGTACAGTATACACATATCAATAGAATAAAAAGACAAGGTAGAAACTTGGTCAGTATAACAGACTTAAAAGCATAGTTACCTACCTGACAAAGAGTACCATCTGGTAAAATATCAGCAGGTGGACACTTAGACATTCTTCCACTGCAATTCGATGATCGATGGCATTCACCGGCTGGACGACACATATGAGTTTCTGGGCGATATTGACAATTTTCGGTGCAACAAACGCCAGCTGTAGGTGAGCATTGAACCTGAGTTAAAGTTCATTAACATAAATTTTATTTTATTTGAACACATAAATATTGGTACAAGAGAGCGCCAATATATATGCGCCACACAAAACAATGAGAATTCGAAGAGAAAAGAAAAAAAGGTAAGGAGTGTGAAAAAAAGAGAACAATAACGAAGAGGTTGGTGTAAGGTAGTGTAGTAGTAATAATAGTGATAATGAGGGGACGGAAAGGTACAACCAGAAGACATCTTTCAGTTAAGGGAGACGCAACCATTAACATAAAGATTGAAGTTCGAGTACAACTGTAACAGAATAAAACTAATATAAAAGTTTTAACACCTGAAGTTCGAGATTTTCACTGGACGAGTCTACTGTGACTGTCTTAATTCTGATACTAAACAGTCTTCATATTCTCACTAAACTGATTTTTTTAACCTACAGTTACGATACATCAGATTGGATGTTAGTACTTTTTATCTTGCCAATTACTTTACCCAGAAAGATCATAAATTCGGATAGGGATCCTAATGATGAGTATATACTGATTAGACGGCATTGTAAATTTTACAGAATATCGAGTGGTATTCTATGATGGTTTCATTAATGAGGATAAAAGTTACTTTCAATTAATTACCATGTTGTAAACAAATTGAAAAATCAACTGAGAATCTGTAGATCAAACCATGTCTTCTTTGAGAAGTTCGACTAACTGTCTATCTAGGGTGTTTGCCAGGATAATCTATACAGAGTCCTTCCATAGTATTGTTTGAACTATCTCGATATAAATCAGTTTCGTTGGGAATCGTCAGTAGTCACTGGAAGGATAGAGTCAAAACGTGTACACAATTTTCTACCACACAGAGCTTTTGCTGAAGAAGCGCTATTTGGTAGTTGCGAGTTCGATGTAGTATGGTAGATAAACAGGAACCTCTTTGGTGATCATCTCCCCTTTGGAACGTTTTTGAACATACAAACAAAATCTTTAACTTACCTGTATGAATGAAGATGTAAAAGTTGGATATGATTGATGGTGTTCTATTGGCAGAAATCGGCGAAGGTGGCAGACGTGGGTTATGTTCGTTTATTACTAAATATTGTCACCGGATTCCCAATGGCAAACAATCTCTATGGTTTTCTTACTAAAGACCCTAAATTTCGGGCTTACATTAGAAAACTGGAGTTTTAAAATTGTCTTATACCTTTTATTCTCCAAACTCACTGAATCTTCTTGAATCCTACTATTCATACTTAATGCTTTCTACTACTATTGATACTGTTACCGTTTCTACTACTCTGGCATTTTTCTTGATAATTTTATCTTGCAGTGCTCACATGGTTTGGGCATCTGAACCAATACACATAAGTGCCAGGTTCTGTGTTGATTATAACTGAGTAATTAACCTTTGAAATAACTAATACACAATACTTCAACGGTAATTCCCCATACAATTGAAAAAGACAAGCTTTGTAAGCACGATGCACAAGAAAAACCCTGAGAGAATTGAATTACATTCAAGTTATTGTTATAACATATTCAATTAGTATTAACTACAACATTTATCAACTGGGTGATCATCACCTGAACATAGTGGATTAATTACTACAATGAAGATGATCTGAAAATAAAATAAACTAATTTTATGCTGAGTAAATCGACACACATAAGAACACACTGGAAGAAGGTTTGCTGGATAATACTTTTTTTTCAAATGTCCTTTTTTATCTACAGATTGTGTGGCCCCTCCTCTCTTCTTCTTCATAATGTTGTCACTTCAATTATGCGAAATAATTGAAGTCGTGCCCTAATGGTGGTTGCGTTTAACACTCCGATGAAATATGTGTATAATTCTTACAAGTTTGCTTTCTGTTACTCTCTATGCGCAGAGTAGTTTCATAACCTACCCAGTACATAAAAATTTACTAAGTTAGTGAGCTACATGCTTCAGAGGTCATTTGAATGATGTCATCAATAGGACATGCAATTAAAATAGTAAAATATATCTAGAACTATCATTACTGACAATTAGAAGTTCAATAAACGATTGTAACTAAAGATGTAGAATTATTCCAATCAAAAAGCTAGTTATCTAATCATTGGATGAATTCTATTAGCACAATAATCTATATATAGATCAAATCATTTAAAATAATAACAACACAGAATATTGAGAATTACAACGTAAGAGCTGCTTACAATTATTCAAAAAAAGGTACTGCAAAACTCGTACTTAGTGACCAATACAATCATAGAAAAAATAGTAAAATTAAATACACGAAAGTAAACTCTATTGAAATTAACTAGTGTCCAGTTTAAAACAAACACAAGCGAATATACATAAAACTCACAGTACGTTCGGTATGATCTATAAAAACACTTTTGACCAGCTTGCATGGACTAGTTGAATCTCTTGGATGGCAGCATTTATCATGACAATTAGCTCTGGTGAAACCACAATCACATTCTTCACCTTCTTCAGTTAACTGATTACCACAAAATGGGCCATCTGAAGTTAAAAAACAATTTTTTTCACCCTGAAAAAGTAAAAACATCATCACATACAGAACTTAATAGTGAGTTAATTACAAATTATGCTGTTTACTCAATTAATACTGAGTAATCTAAATAATACAATATTGTTAATGTTGTTATTTTAATTGCTGATCACCTGTGAAATCTGTTCTTAATACTAATTATTTTTTGGAGTTTGCATCACCTAATGAACGAAGAACAAAATAGGAATATACTAAATACTTATTTAGAAGAAAAAAAATACATAACTCAGTAACTTAGTTGTATTTTTTACTTGAAACAGTTTAATCTACAGATGTTTCAGATCGTATCTATGCCTTGAATTATTGAATAAAATCGATCACCAATAAGATAAGTAAATGACGCAACTCAGTATTTTGATATAGCTTTGGTCAATAATAAGTTCTGTAGTGGATCTGTTTTTGGTGCATAATAGAGTTTTCATCTGTAGTTATACCTACTTCATTGTGTCGAACCGTATCAGTTTTATGCAGTCATAACAGCCATAGAAGTATATGGTCCAGTTACTAACCTATAAATATCAAAATCTATATGACTAAAAAGTTAAACGTCGAATTTGTTGTGATCTTTTGTTATCACAGCCAATTCACCCGTGCCGACCAAAACTAAAGGTGAGTGGTTTCCTGTGAATTTTTCGAACATATGAACTATGCTAACAGTTAAAATTAAGCTTATTTATGACGTATTTATGTTTCATTCAAACAGTGAGACAGTAACAATCAATGAAAACTCCAACCACTAAAATTTCCGAAAACTTATCATGATTACAATGAACTACACATTTAAGTAAAAAGTCAAAAAGGTTTACTAAAAGCCTGATAACAGTATCTCCCCTACCTGAGTAAACAAAATTCATATAGCTATGCGAATTAAAATGCATAATATTTTCTTAACGGAAAAAACTACGTAAACTGATTACAGACGGAACCAGGTAACAAAAATGTACATTTTCAATGATTCATCAGATTTTTCTGATTGATGTCTCTAATTCAGAAGGTTCAGTTGGTATTTTGGCAACTTTTCCTACCTGTGGTGTACACAAGATATCCGTTTGCAACTAATGTACGCTCCATATTAATTTATAGCTGTGAAACATGCTTTAGGAAAATTGGAAACATACAAGGCGACAGGTTTTTATCATAGGCATATTTGAAGCATTGCTCGAACATTACAAAATAACTAAGCAATGTTGGAGATTGGGCAAACTGGTTCATGGAGCTGTGAATCTTCATCGACTAAGGCAATTGGGACATATATTACGTATGCCCAACCGCCCCCAACACTTTTAGTTCTATAGATTTTTCAAGGATTTAAGATAGGTACATATTGTCACTAAGTAACAATATTTTACAGTAATACGCACACAAAAAATATTAAGAGGATTTCGATAACACGCACCCGTAAAACACGATCCAATAGTTTGGCAATAGAATCAAGTGAACAACTGGAAAATTTGTTGTTATTTTCTTTATCACCACTTATCGCACTAGCAAACATAATATAATTACCCCGGACATCATCAATAGACGGCAAACATCCATGTGATTCATTTTCATGAAAATTATCATGTTTAGCACCAAAATTATGTCCTAATTCATGAGCAAATGTTAGCTGTGATACCTTTGTGGCTACCTAAAATTAAAAGTCGGAAAAGCAATAATGAAATGTTTTAACTGTGTAGAAGTCATTTCAAATGATAGTTTAAATTAATGATAGATTACCTTTGATCCATAATTCAATAGAGTTACAACTCCAGTATTTAAACTTTTGTAAACATTTTGATCTCCTTCCTGCATTCGCCTATGTTTTTCACAGACACCACCTGCTCCACCCACTTCAGCAACCCATGCCAAACCAATAGTCCCACCTGAAAAGTCTCTGTATGTGAAAATATAAGCCAAGCAGAAGTCATCATGTTTGTTGTATGAATGTAGATTAAGATAATTAGTAACATCAATATTGGGTGCACAAAAAGGATTTTCATCAGTATATGCCCCACTAAAACTCAAGTGATCCGTATTACTTGGCTGATGGAGAGAAAGATGATCCGAAAATGTTTCACGGGGTAGGGCAGTAGGTGAGATATATGAATTATTCCGATCCTGGAGATACGTAGGTTTCCATACACGATTACGACAGTCATCTTCCGTTACATTGATAAGGACACGATCAACGCGAAAACTGACACCACGGAATTCTAAACGGCCCTGGAAAAAAAGGAAACTATTAAATGGAATGGTGCAAAAGCAGGGTATTTGAAAACACACTAAAAGGAACTAACGTTTTGTTAGAAATCCCTAAAAGATACGGTATGATTAACTTACCACCAAATAACGATTAACAAAAAGGAGACTATCCAGTTTCAACTACAATATTTATTATCTCTGCATCATCAATGGAATGGACATTATCAGAATTCACTTTTCAAAAACAAAACTTATGAGAGCTGCACAGTTTCATCGCATTTTGCTTTAACATAATTCAGCAAACATAATAAGTGATAAAGACAAAACAATGCGATTTGAAACAACTATCTCAGAAAGTTACCAGTTATGGGAATAACAACTACAGAAACAAAGATGATCTGCAATACCACAATGCATATTACTAGGGTTTTTCCATAAACGAATCACTGTGAAGATAGAGGATAAACTGTCAAAATAGAAAAAAATAGCCCTTAAAGATGAATTTTCACCCTCTTATTACCTCTGCATGTTACTCCGCATCGACCATAGTTGCCACGAACAATTCTTTGATGATTCTGTCCTGAGCCCTCCATTCCAGTTGCTGTTAAGTCCTATTCATGTTTCTGATGTTTGCCTCCAAGTCTCGGAGCAATGTGTTCTTTCGTCCTCCTCTTTTTCCTTTGGATTCCATATAAAGGTTTGTATCGTGGTACAGTTTGATTTTCGCAGTCTGTGTCCTATCTACCTTCAGCAACTTTTCGTTATTTCCCCTATAGCTTAAAGCTCGTTTATTCTCTGATACAGTAAATTCCTGATGATGGTATCTGGTCAATGGATATAAAATATCTTGCATAGACAAGTGTTTATAAATACCTGTACTTTTTCGATGGTGGTTGTAGTAGCGTAGCAGATCTCTGTTATCATACCCATGCGATATTTGTTCTAACCTTTGGACAGATAAATCATTCAAATCTTTCGATTTGTCGTATCATTTATATGTTTGTCCTGGCCAGTTTCACTCGTGTAACCGTGAACATGCTTTATACAAGTGAGTAAGCTAGTGCGAATGCGCCTGTATACTTACTTGTATCTCTTACATGCTTATAAAGACTGAATTGATTATTAGTCGCTGACAAAGCTATTTCTGCCACTTCAGTTCACGTGCATTACTTCTAGTCACTTACCGTACATCTACATTATCGAATATCTGGAATATGTTCCTCAAATACTTTGTATTGAACTTTACATATCGACTTTGTTATTAACAGGATACGTTAAGAGAATATATGCGAAGTTAGCAGGACATATATTTCACTAACATCAATATTATTCGATCGCGGATCAATAAGGTAGTTCACCAAGTTTCAGATCTATACAGCACAACTCTCTTGACATTTGTGTTGAAAATTATAATTTTGCCATCGACTGACAGTTGATTTGAGTAGTATATGTTCTTCAATTGTAGGAATGCTGCCCTTGTCTTCCCAATCCGTGCCCCCGTATCAAAATCAACCCAATCATGTTTATCAATAGTGCTGCCCAGGTTAGTAAACGTTTCCAGCTCTTCCACAGCCTCTAACAAACGTGCTTTAGTTGGTGCTCACCGTGCTGTATTTTAGGATTTCACTTTTTCCCTTGTGTATGTTGAAGCCTACTGATTTAGAGGCTGCTGTTACACTGGCTCTTTGCCTGCACCTGTTGCCGTGTATGGAATAGAAGAGCTAAATCATCTGCGAAGTCCAAATCGTCTAGATGCATCTAAGCTGTCCATTGTATTCTATGCTTCCCCTCAGATGTGGAGGTCTTCATAATCTAGTCAACCACAAGAAGAAGAAGAAAGACGAAGAGAAGGCAGTCTTGTCCGAGACCACTTGCAATCAATCTTTCAGCTGTCCTACATGCACGACATCGCACTGTAGTCCGTCCATATGACGGTAACAATACTCTCAGGTACACCATAGCATCTACCAATTTCGCCTCTCAGCTTTTTCGTTGTATCGTATATTTTTCTCATCTTTCCTTCTCTTGCAGCCTGTTCTCATTTTGTTGATAGGTCTTCCACCTTCTCTGACCCATATTTATTCAGATCATAAGTCGTAAAAGTTCACTTAACATATAAGCTAATTCAAATTAACATTCCATATGAATCATATCAACATTAACAAATTTATTTTGCTTAATAATCCTAAATTCAAATGCTATAACTTTGAACGATGCAGTTTGCCCTAAACCTGGTCATTTTTCGGGTTATTTATTTGATATAATTGTAAAACCCTAAGACAGTTCATCGAGAACATTCTTCGTCCATATATCAGTCAGTTATAATCACTAAGAAAAAGATAGTATAATCAATATTACCAGTCACAGAAAGTAACAGATATAACTATTTTTGTACATGATAGTTGCAGGCAGTCGATCAACCTCATATCAACCACCTTGATAACCATGTCTAGTTAGTATAGCTCAATCATTCTATCCTTATTGCAAACTTAAACAATAAGGAAGCAGTTATGAGCATGTGATAGCATTAAAAAAGCTGAATTAGATTTAGTTATAAAAAGGAAAATTAAAAATTACTCACCTAACCTTACCAAATAACAAAAGCCCTAGACACTAACAAGGCATTACACGAAAAAGTCCATATCTTGTAAAAGAAATAATAATCCATATTTTTTGTTTATTGACTAGACCTTTTGTATAACACGGGTTAAATTAAAAGTCTTAATTGAAGTTTATTGCAATCGTGAAGTAATTTAGAATATACTAGAATCATAAACCACCATTGTCTACTTCCCAAAATCGGATTCGTTTAACTGTAGTTATGTATAGCTGATTGACCAGACAAAAGCTAGTTGGTTGTGTAATTACAGTAGAGTCGGATAAAGAAAATAGTGTAAACAATTTTTCACTCAAACGTACTTCCCTTTAAACAACTTACTGAGTGATCACGGAAAACTGCATCCTGATAGATCAACTGGGCGGCCTGAACGTGTTGCGTAAAAATGGAGGTGATTTCTTTGACAGCAAGCTCCCTGCTGCCTTGAATATGTGGCTTATTTATAACATGATCCCAAAGGTATGTATCTGACTGTAAATAGAGATTACAAACCCGCGTGTTCGGTCCTTTATCTGTGTATGGCAAGGAATTATTGGTAACTAGATGTGGAGATTTAAATGAGCGAACAAATTGACTCTGAAGTTCCGAAAAATATGGTTCATGATTCCTGAGGACTTAGAAAGAGAATGAGTTCAGATCTTAGGATACAAACAAATTAGATACATATATATTATTAATACTTCGTGTGATCAAATAAGGTTCACTATAAACTATACTAAGCTAATCTATGGGCAAAACTCTAACCTATACTAGTATTTATTTATTTATTTGAACACAAATATTGGTACAAGAAGGCACCAATTATATATGCGCCACACACCTATACTAGGATACCGCATCAATACCAACTAGCCAACTAATACTATGATTCCTAGTATATCATGCTTCTACCAGATATTACCAATTTTTGTGAAGTACCTGTGGAATTTAGTTACATACCACAAGTGACCACTGTCTAGAATTGCTCTGACTGAATTTATGGCTGAGCATAGCTATTCCAAAAGATCGACTATTCTGGTCGATAAGAAGGATAAAATGTTTATTATGACAAGCATAAGAACATCAGCCTGCTTAATAGTTATAGTAATATGGCATACACTTATTGTGTAAGGGTAAATAATAAAATGACGATCTAGGTATGAATAAAAGTTCAGGAAACCTTAATAATAAGTTTTTAATGCCCGTTATTGACAACATTATGACCTTATTGAAATACATGTCCTAGTCAACCTCCTAAATATATTCTCTCGACGAGTCACATCATTACAACACATAAATACGAAAGTATTTTGAGATGTGTACATTTCATGCATTCAGATTGGCAGATAGGCGAAGAGAAGTAAATTTGAACTGAAGTGAGAGCAACAAATTACTCAATGAACGAGTGAATAAATCAATAAATAGGGTGAGTTATGGATGCATTATAGGGATATAATTAGAGTATATGGTAGAGACACAATGTAAGCACAAATAGAGGCATCTGAATATAACTAGATAACCAAATTATAGGTCCAAAGGAAGGTTATAAAATACATGACCAGGTTAGAATGACACGTTTATTAAACAGAATCGCCTATATAAAAATAGGTTGAATATAATTAAAGCAAGAACTACCACCACACGTTTCCCTAATGTGGCCCCTATGGTGTCAGATACAGGATAAGATTCTCAGAAAGCAAGTTACATTTCTGAAAGTCCTGAATCTGAACATGGTATTCCTTTTACTTAATTTGGGACACACGGCCACATTTTTCGCAACAGAACTTACTAAAAGAATGTATGAGCACTTTACAGAATTTGAGCCTGCTAGTTATAGAATGTTGCTTCGGGACTAGTTCACGTGTAGCAGTAAATAAATCTAGAAAATCAATAGTTCTGTAAGTCGTGCTATATGTCCCTTTTAAGTACTAGCCAGCTTAGACCAAACGTTCCTCGACATATCGACAACCTTCCAAATATATCTTCGAACTCCTTCATTTCTGACCTCTGATTTGACTGGGTTGGCATACTTCGATTGTAAAGGTGCTACTGGTAAAAGCGCTGTCGATCTCCGAATATTTGTGGTATATTTACACGTTCACATACAGACTGACCATAAGCGACTAAATAATTTTCCTTAGTTTTGATCAACCTTGCTGGGCTTGTGATTTAAAAACTACGAAGATACCGAAACATATGTAAATGATGAAAACAGGCAAAATAAACTTAAAGGGACTGAAACGAAACGCAATACAGATATATACAGTGATTCGCCTAAGTACTCTATAGATTTTGCGGACCTTGTAAGTCGACAACATAGGTCGAACATGCTTGTCCATGAAGAAAGTAGGGCCTTAGAACAGTTACTCAACATAAACAGAAAGAGTGAGCATTAAACTGTGGCACGTTAAAGTGGAACACGGGGGGATGTTCCAAGTGGGCTTACCGGTAGTTTCATGCTTTTTACGATCATCAATACAACTTATTTTACTCATTTTCTGAGCAATACTAGGGTATGATAATCCGCAAAACTTAAAGTTCATCTCTTGGACTGCGCGACGCATACGACTCTGACCGACAGTAGGGGTCTTGACATCCAACGAATTATATATAACAGAATGGAACGGAAAGTCTTTGTTAAAATAATATCCTGAGGGTTCAATAAAATAGGTATCATAAGATCCTGGAGCCGAATGTAATAAATTGCTTTTATTCAAGGAAACTGTGCCCCGAAACACTCCATCTATTACACTTCCAAAAACAACACTGTGTGTGAATCCGTCAACATATCCCCGGACAACATGATCAGAAACAGCTGGAAGACCACCAGTCCATTCTCGACCACCAACAACCAACTTGGCATTCGGATGAACTACTTCATAATCAGGATATAAAACGAGATGAAAGGATTTCCCGAATGCCTTTATTGGCAAAAGTATGTTTGTTTTTGAGGTGCTGCGACGTGTTCTTTTATGTGGATGACCGAATGAATCAGGAGAGTAATCCAAGCCATCATACCGCGAGAAATAAGGACTTTCTGGAAAATCATAACTTTGCACGCATATGGAGAAAATCTCAAGAACTATAACCGAGAGACACAAGTGTACTTTGGAAAACATAGCACTCAGTTTGGGAACTAGGAATGAAGAGGTATACAATTACGAGATGCATGTTATCCACGTTTCTCACGAATTCGTGAGAAAGATATTAGGCATCATCCGATTGGAGAATCCTTACAGCAAATGGACTGATTTCTCACTAAAAACGAACAACAGACCTGACTCCCGTTAACCAACAAATGCTCTGTTATGCAATACAATGATCCTTCCATCCATTTGATTGAACAAAGCCAGTGATGACCTTGAGGAACAAATCAGCTAATCAGAGAACAGTGTTATCTTATAAAATGACGAGAGGTAAAGTAACAATGGTTGGATGATTCCGATAGAACGATTAGCTGCTGCGTCTGTAGCGGTAAATAAATCCCCAAAATAAATAGCACTAAGTTTTCGACATTGGATGCTGACCATATGTTTTAGTGGACTCATCTAGCTGAAGGCGCTCGGTCATGCATCCGCACCAGATCACGTGTGGTAACGCCGTGCTCAACATCAACCGCAATCGCTAGCCAGATTAGATCAGAGAATTCCGATATATTGGTCATCGCCAAATATACTCTTCCGATCTCCTCGACTCTGTCTTTTGATTTCTCTGGGCGGGAACGAAATATATTAGGTGTTACTGGTAGAAGCGTTGTCAAACACTGAATACCTGTGACATCATCATTGGTGAAACCGACGTGATCTAGTACACCTAATTGCAACTGTGAGTCTGTTCCTTTTTGGGATTTTCATATATCATTGCCTTATTTTTTTATTTTTTAAACATTGTGATTTTTTTCGTGTTTTTTCTTGGATATATATATTTTCCCCTTGTTCATTATCGTACTTCATACTTCATCATGACTGAACAGACACCTAAAGTACTCAAGCTTAAGACTTTGTCCCCGCCTTCGTTTCAACTGATGCCTTTCTGGCCCGACAACATTGAAGCCTGGTTTTGCTACGCCGAAGCCGACTTCTCCGAGCACGGCGTGATCGACACACGTGCACAATTCCTCGCAGTAGTCAAGGCACTACCGCGCGAATTCAACAGGTACGTAACACCTAGTATGTTTACTAGTGATGTTTCCGATCCTTACGAAATCTTAAAACGCTCGATTCTTAAACGAGGAGACCTAACCGATCGACAAAGTTTAGATCAACTCTTCAACAATATCCACTTGCAACACGGTTCTGCGACAGACATGTTGCAACGGATGAGAGAGGTAATAGGCCCAAGAACTTTCGACGAAGGCCTATCCAAACAACTCTTCTTGTCAAAACTTCCCCAACAGGTGCAAGCAGTTCTGGTCTCGTTCCAGAACAATGCCTTAGACGAGCTAGCTGCATCTGCCGACCGCATTTTAGAAATTACGAAATCTACTACCGAGGTATTTTCAGTCAAAGAAAAACCTCAAACGACTCAGAATGATATAAACGACTTATGTCACACACTCACGCGTTATCTTAGTCTTCGTAACGACCGTAAGAGATCGCGCACACCACGTAGAAGCATTTCTCGTAAGCGATCTGTCTCTAGACCACGAGAGACAGATAACCCCGACTGGTGCTGGTATCATAACCAGTATGGAAAGTTTTCCAGAAATTGCAGGAAACCCTGCAATTTTCCCAACACAAAACCGACTGATTCGAAAAGCAATTCGAGAAACTTCCAAGCCGGCACGCGTTAACGGCAACCGTAGCCGGCGAACAAAGCCGTCTGTTATTCGTCACAGATGTGACAACGAGAGTTCGCTACCTCGTCGACACTGGCGCAGAAGTTAGCGTTCTCCCAGCAAATCCTAACGACCGACTTCACGAATCGACCCTAAACTTACAGGCGGCAAACGGAAAACCGGTCGCTACGTATGGCAAAAGATACGTTTACCTTAACGTGGGTTTACGCAAACCCATTCACTGGATTTTCGTTGTTGCAGATGTTTCTATGCCAATCATTGGTATGGATCTTCTACAACACCATAATCTGATCATCGACACGCGCGAACGGAGGCTAGTAGACGGGAACACTAATTTGTCCGTTTGCGTAACTTCTTTTACTGGTTGTAGAGTATCCCCAGTCACAGTTAAACATATGATAGACGCACTCTATCAACCACTACTCGATAAGTACCCTGGGATACAACAAACTCAACCGAAACTACCGTGTGTAACCAGCAATGTTACACATCACATCACGACTACAGGACCACCTGTATTCTCTAAAGCACGACGACTAGCTCCTGAAAAGCTAAGGTTAGCGAAAAACGAATTCGATCACATGATAGACCTAGGAATCATACGACCGTCAAGTAGCCCATATGCATCTCCGTTGCACATGGTCCCTAAAAAGGACAGCAACGATTGGCGTCCAACTGGTGACTATCGGCGATTGAACGCGAAAACCATTCCCGATCGTTACCCGATGCCTCACATTCACGATTTGACAGCTACCGTGAAAGGTACAACTGTCTTTTCGAAAATCGACTTGGTTAAAGCGTATAACCAAATCCCTATGGCTACTGACGACATACCGAAAACAGCTATCATAATTCCTTTCGGACTGTATGAATTTTTGCGAAAGCCTTTCGGTCTAAGGAATGCTGCTCAAACATTTCAAAGATTCATAGACGACGTTTTTCGAGGTCTCAACTTCGTACACGTGTATGTTGATGACTGTCTAATCGCAAGTCCGGACAGAGAAACACATCTCAAGCATCTGGATCTTGTTTTCGAACGATTACAAAAACATAGCATTACTGTAAACGTTCAGAAATGCCGAATTGGAACCGACTAATTAGACTTTCTGGGACACACTATCGATGCTCAAGGCATTCGACCTCTTAGGACCAAAGTGGCGGCCATTCTGGATTACCCAGAACCGACCACCGTCAAGCAATTACACACGTTCAACGGCCTCGTAAGTTTCTATAGACGTTTCATACCAAAATGCGCATCACTTATGAAACCTCTGACCGACAAACTTCGAGGAAATGCGAAATCCATTAATTTGGACGACACCGCACGAAAAGCATTCTCCACAGTTAAGGAACTAATTGCTAAAGCAACAATGCTCGCACATCAGGACACCGAAGCACCCATTAATATCGCAGTAGACGCATCGGACTCGGCAATCGGTGGCGTCTTGCAACAATGGATTAACAACTCCTGGCAACCCTTGGCATTTTCTTCTAGAAGGTTGCTAGACACCGAATCAAGGTACAGCACATTCGGTAGGGAACTCCTAGCTATGTATTGTGCTGTGCGGCATTTCCAACACTACATCGAAGGTCGTGAATTCACTCTTTTCACGGACCATAAACCGCTCACTTTCTCGTTAAGCTCTCCTTCTGACAAGTACTCTCCCCGTGAGTCTCGACAACTGGACTACATTTCGCAGTTTACTTCAGATGTTCAACACATCTCTGGAGCAAACAATGTAGTTGCAGACGCTTTATCTCGCATAACTTCCTTGAACAGTTTCCAAGGAATCGACCTTCTTAAACTCGCCGAGCTTCAAAAAGAAGACAGTGATCTTCAGCACGAGTTATCGTCCACAACACTTAAACTACGCATCAAACAGATGGGAACAGGTAAGGAAACCTTACTTTGTGACACATCTACAGGTAGGGATCGCCCAATCGTGCCGAAACATTATCGACGCAATGTCTTCAACACATTGCACAAACTTTCGCATCCAGGTGTTCGTGCAACCATCAAGCTTATAGCAGAAAGGTTTTGCTGGCCTGGAATGAATAAAGACGTGAGGGAGTGGGCACGCTCCTGTGTAAGCTGCCAAAAATCTAAGGTTATCAGACACAATAAATGTCCCTTATGCTCGTTTAAAACTCCCGATGCTCGTTTCGACCATGTTCATCTGGATTTGGTAGGACCTTTACCAGATTCAAATGGATACTCTTATCTCTTAACCTGCGTAGACCGTTTCACTCGATGGCCAGAAGCAGTACCTATCAAGGACATCACTGCTGAAACAGTGGCCCGCACCTTCGTCGAACGATGGGTAGCAAACTTCGGTTACTCTTCAGCCATCACTACAGACCGCGGACGTCAGTTTGAATCTGATCTTTTCCGTCGTCTGACCACTCTTTTAGGAATCACTCGCTTCCAAACGACCGCCTACCATCCACAAGCAAACGGGTCGGTAGAACGTTTTCACCGACAACTGAAAGCTTCGCTATCAGCTGCAAACGTTTCACAGTGGACCGACGCTCTTCCACTCGTCTTACTAGGTATCCGCAATGCAGTGAAAGCTGACATTGGATACACTGCGTCTCAACTCGTTTATGGAACGACACTTCGACTTCCAGGAGAATTCGTGGATCCTTCATCCTCTTCAATGAACATGGATCTAACCTCCTACACGAACAGGCTTACAAACGCAATGTGTTCAGTTAAACCTGCTTCCACTTGACCTCAATCAACTGATGTTTTCGTTCAACCTGACTTACGATATAGTACACACGTTTTCGTTCGTCGAGACTCGCATCGACGACCCTTCGAATCAGCATACGAAGGACCCATCAAAGTTCTTCAACGTGAATCTAAGTACTATATAGTCGATAAGAACGGAACCAACGATAGCATCAGTATCGATCGCTTAAAAGCAGCGTATTTAGAAGGAAATCCTATCTACGTGGATTTTTCTTCGGTACAATCGAACGACACGACTCCGACACTTATAATACCTCATCCGACAACCAACACACACGATGATACTTCGACAGTATCCGAAAATAAACTTGAAACGACGCGTTCTGGAAGAAGGGTGAGATTTCCAGAACATTTAAACGACTATTGCACGTAAGGCACTTCTCGACATTTTATATCATTTTTTTAAAAAAAACAATTTTAATATGCTTATATATTTTTATTTCTATTAAAAAAAACAAAAAATTTTTTTAACGCTATTACGTGTTCATGAGTTTATTTTCCATTTTTTCCGCCGACATTGTGTTTTTACGCACATACGAGTGTATTTCGACATGCACTTACATTTTCTTTTTTCTTTCCCAGGACGGCTGGAAAAGAACGATGACGTTTATGAGGATCCGAAATTTTCATTGTACATTTTCTTTTTTTACTATGTTGTACCTCCGTCCCATATTAGTAAGGAAAGACGACCAGACGCTGCTAAATTTAGTAAGCTATCAGAAGAGTGTTTACCAACGACAAACTCGTTGGGTTTAAACTTCTGGCTGGCCACGTCTTAAAGTCGTCACTGCCCCACTAGGG